TGAGCTTGGTATATTTCCTGAACAACTAAAAATTGCTAGGGTTATACCGGTCTTCAAAAGGGGATCTGGGACGGATCCAAACAACTATAGGCCTATATCTCTGCTTCCAGTGGTGTCTAAAATATTCGAAAAAATTATTGAATCTAGACTCACACTACATCTTAGCCGGCACAAGGTTTTAAATAAGCGACAATTTGGATATCAGAGATCTATTGGTACTGTGGACGCCATTGATATGTTATTATTCGAGGTGTTATCGAAACTTAATACTAAAATGAAGGTAGCTGGATTGTTTCTGGATTTGACGGCTGCATTTGATATGGTAGATCATGGTTTATTGTTGGCAAAGTTGGAGCATTATGGCGTGAGAGGTAATGTTTTGAAATTGTTTCGATCATATCTAGAAAATAGGCAGCAGTACGTAGAAATCAGGTCTGTAGCGCAATGTAAAGAAATAGTGACAAAATCTAGGATGGTTGGTGTGAGGCGTGGCGTTCCGCAGGGCTCAAATTTGGGACCATTGTTGTTCGTCATTTTCGTTAATGATCTTATAAATCTTTTATCTGATTTCCCTAATGTAGCTGTGGTTGCGTATGCAGATGATATAAATGCCATTATAACTGCCCCGAACTTGGAAGACCTTTCCACCAATATTAATAATGCGCTTCCGGTTTTTAGTAAATGGTTCTCTTGTAATAATCTTTTACTCAATACTAAAAAGACCAATCTTGTTTTGTTTAAGCCCACTACTAAAAAACAAGATACTATCAATGCTGAATGTAATGGTCAGTTGGTAGAGGCAACTTCTTGCATAAAATTCTTGGGTATATATATTGATGAATGTCTTAACTGGAAACAAGAGATTAGTGCAATGGAGGATTATATAAGCTCTGCCTGTTATGCGTTGAGAAGTTTGAGAGACTTGATTGATGTGGGCCAATTGAAGTCTGTATATTATGCTCTCGTTGAGTCGAAATTGAGGTATAGCGTAAAGTTTTGGGGAAACAGCTATTCTTATAATATGAAAAATGCATTTGTACTGCAGAAAAGGGCAATACGAACTATGGTGCGCATACCGCCATGGGAGTCTTGTAGGGAACATTTTAGAGACCTTAGTATACTTACTCTCCCTAGTCTTTATATATTGGTTGTCGTAATGGATGTTTTGAAGCATAATTATAAATACGAAACGGCAACATCTAGGGAGACGAGATTAAGTAGTAGAAGAAAAGACATACAAATTTCGCTTCACCCAAAATTAAATATTGTAAAACATTGTAGTCGATATCAGGCAGTCAAACTTTTTAACGCCCTGCCGACGGAGTTAAAAGCTATCGAAAGTCCTAATAAATTTAAAACTAAATTGAGGCAACTTCTATTAGACGGTTCTTTCTATACGCTGGAGGAGTTCTATAGTGGTCAGTGCATCTTACCCAACGGATAATTAATAAAAACTACCATAATGTTTAAGTGTCTGCATGATTTTTATGTAATTTTATTTTGATTTGTTCTTGTACCATTCAAATACAATTGTAAAAAATTGTTAATGCTGTAATGCTGTATGAATTATAATAATAATAATAATAATAATAACTAAGCCAACTGAGCGATCCCGGTGCGCTCGCTAAGGCCCTTCAGGCTTTAGCAACACCGAAGACCCGATCCCAGTGCACTTGGGCCTTGTCCCAAGGGTGAAGGTTTGCCGCTACATCCAATAGGGATAGCCGCAGCTTCTTCCCGCGCCCCCTTCCCCCCTCGCCTCGGCGGGGGGCAGATCTCTTTTGCACTCACTGTCTTCCCTCTAGCCTACCTAGGTAGGTGTGACGGAGGACGTCGCGAAGTCTTCTTGTTCTGTCCTCTTCTTGCCTCCAAAATGTCGGCATTTTGCCTAGCCGAATTACGTCAACTACTCCCTCCCTCCATTCTTGACCAAGTGATCTCCGCGATCCAAACGGCGTCGCCCTCTCCCACGCCCCCAGTCATGGAGTGCGAAAGCGCCTCCATCAAGAGGACCGCTTCTCAGCGGTCCTTATCCCGCTCCCGCTCCGTCTCCAGTCGACGACGACCTTTTCAGGTCATCGGACACTGACGCAACCACTAGTTTTCATACGGTACAGAATCGAAGGAAGCGTCGCAAGCCACGCTCTCCCAGAGCTAGCAGAGACGCTTCCTCGGACGTCACCCCCACAACCCCCAAACCCCTTATGTCCATAGTTTTCAATAAGGTGCCCTCGGTAGGCAATACCGTAGAGAAAACCTCTCTCGGTAATAAGACTGCCAGAGGCAATACCGAAAAGAAAACTGTTCCCCCACCTCGGGCTAATACTTCCCATAGTATTACCCCTCCCCCCGCCCGTCCGAACAACAAATGCGATCCCAAGCCGGGCAAACCCAAACCCTCGCCGCCCGTTTTTATACGGGACAAGGCTAGATGGGCAGAGGTATCAAACCTCTGCTCGTCTAACAAAGTTTGCTACACCCATGCCAAAAACATGGGTGTAGCTATCCTGGTGGAAACACCCTCCAGTGAGGACTTTAGAGCCCTCACTAGACTTCTCATCCACCACAAGGTGGGTTCAATCAAAATCAAAATTTATTTATTCAGTCTAGGCTTTTACAGAGCACTTGTGAAAGTCGAAACTACGCCATCGGTTCGCAAAACTACGGCGGGAGACCTTGTACTGAGAAGAACCGGCAAGAAACTCAGCAAGGGCTGTTTTTTTCTCCCTGTTTTATTTCACACAGAGAAGTCTTATTGAAAAGTGACTTCATTAGAATATGAAGTCACTTTCCATTACAATATTAGAAAGTAAATACAATAAAGTTAAAATATCTAACACCATGCCTTTTTGTCATTTAGATATTCCTTAACGGTATAATACCCTTTACTTTGTAGACAATTATTAAAGTATTGTATATCTTGACCCATGAAAGAACCTAATACCTTTTGTAACCTGTAAGAAGGCATTACTAGCTTGTTTTTATTTCTAGTATTAAGTTTGTGTACATCACTATGTTTGGTATACACATTAATATTGTTCCGGACAAAAAGTATACAACTATATATAAATTGAGATGCAACCGTCAATATTCCAATTTCTTTCAATTTCTCTCTAAGAGATATTTGCGAGCCCAACTGATAGATAGATCTTATTGCCCTTTTTTGTAAAACAAATATAGACTGAATATCGGCTGCCGTTCCCCACAATATAATGCCATAGGACATGATACTGTGAAAATAACTAAAGAACACTGTTCGGGCAGTTTCTATATCGGTAATTTGTCTTTTACTAATTTGTCCCGCCATCCGCGGCGGACTTGCGATCCAATCTTACGCTCTCTTGCGTAACGATAAGCCCATCCCTCCAGGTGGGACCGCTTCCGGCGGTATCGCCACCCCCCCTCTCGTCAATACGCAAGCCACTGTATGTAGACTGTTTATGACGGGTCATCGTACCCTCATCATAGCCTCAGTCTATATAGAGGCCGGCTCGCTACCTATCCAAAGCGACTTCGAAGCGCTCCTAGCTCTAGGAGATTCAGTAGTTCTCTTTGGCGACTTCAACACTAAGCACACCGATTGGTCGTGCTTAAAAACTAACCGGGGCGGCAGAGTATTGAAAAATATACTCGAAGCCCTCGAGTTAGACATCATCACTCTGTACTCCCCTACTCACTATCCTTATGTCCTCGACCACGACCCCGACATATTAGACTTTGTGCTAATGAATGGTGTCTCTCTTCGACTTAAATCAATCGATTCGCTCGATGATTTAGGCTCCGACCATCGCCCGGTCTCCCTAGTCCTAGGAAATCCTAACCCCCCCCCCGTCCCTCTACCAAGATGGTCATTAATTGGGACGGTTATAAATCGTCTCTTTCAGCGGCTATCAACAATCCAAATTCACCGCACGCTACTGGACCCGACTACTTCGATAGTGCGGTGGACAACCTCACCCACACGGTCCAAAAGGCTCTAGCGGATAACGGGAGGCTTCGTCCCGATGGCACCACAGCCTTCGAGGGCGATGAAAAGGCGGAGTGTTTCGCTGACAGAGTGGCCACGCAATGCTCAATTAGCACCCAGGAGTGTGACCAAGATCACATACGGGCGGTAGAGGAGGAGCTATCAGCAAAGTACTCCCTCCCTCTGCCCCCGCCCTCCGACCCCCCCAAAACGACCCCTCACCCGTTTCTTCTGATGAGATCGTAGATCTCATCAAAAATCTCAAACCCAAAAAGTCCCCAGGTGCCGATGGCATCTCCAATATGGCCCTGAAGTTCTTCCCTTCAGAGGTCATTACTCTCATCACCCTCATTTTCAATGCCTGTTTTCTATTTCGACTCAGCCCTATGCTGGACCGACATAGTAAAATGTCTCTTCGTAATAAGCGAACACTTTCCAAGGTTTGCATACGTCCGGTGATGACGTACGCCTCTACCGTATTCGCCCATGCCGACCCTAAAGTCCTCTACAAATTGAAAATAGTGCAAAATCTCTTTTGCCGCCGAGCAGCAAACGCCCCTTACTACATCCGCAATGCGGATCTATATAGCGACCTCGATCTTCCCACTATCCAACAGTGGTGCATCAAAGCCTATGAACGCTTCTTCAAAGCGGCAGAGGAACACCCCAATCTCCTCACTCGTTCTGCCGCGGACTATGTGCCGCCCTCCTCCTCCTCTCCTCTCGCCCGTAGGCCCAAATCTGTCCTCACCGATCCACCGTCCAAACTTTCCTCCGACCCTTCAGGTCAACCCCCATCTCTGTCCACTTTGACCGCTATCCCTTCAGGGTAGCGGCCGCACATATTCTGCATTCCTATAACTTTTCGACGGGCTCAAAAATTTAAATCAAGTATAAAACGTTGAACACCGTCGTTCTTAGAGTTTTTAGTTTTAAGAAAAAACGATTGATTTAGATATTGCTTTGATGCAATGTTTTAATAAAATCAATAATGTACTGTATGAGCTTATATCCCTTTGTTTAAAAGAATTTCACAGCCACATGCAAGTTAAAAAGGCAAGAGATTTTCTTGCTCTTTGATTTCGTCATTTTGGATTTGAAAGACTGCTACGAATTAAATTGGTGTCAGCAAAGAGACAAAAAATTACAGTTTATCAAGTTCCTGCAAGGTATGTACCGTGTAGTTGCAGAAATTGTGACATTATATCTAAAAGACTACAAATCTTAGTGACTGTATTGATCTTCCAGTTGATGTAGCTAGGACAATTTAATAACATTTATTTTTCTCTATAAAATTATCCACCTAGTTAAATTGACATGCACATCTTTATTCACACTGCAATTGTTTATAAAATGAAAGATCTGTGAACTGTTTCTGTACCTATATGACAATGTACATTTAACATTTAGAGTGGTTAATATGGGAAAGTCTGAAACTATCAGACATCTACAAAGATCTTGTTATAAGAACCATGTCATTAATTTTAGTGTCAAAAAAACTGCATTCCTACATTAACGAAAAGTAGTTCTCAGTTTGGGAACTGAACCTGGATGTTTTAAAAATATAAAATATGTTTATTTACATATTTGTTGTTATATGATAATAGTTTTAGCCTCAATTAAACACATCATATTATTTTGAAACATGATGTCAAAAATGGTGCAGTAAACTATTATTTATATATTACTCACATACTAAAATCAGCAAAAACCTATTATGATGTTAATTTGATATATCTATTCAATAAAATGATATTATACAGAATGCAAAATAACCTAATTGTAACATATTTTTTAGTTAATTGAAATGTCTATGCGTAATGTTCGCAAGTTGTTTGGAACTACGACGTTGCCGCCTCTTGAAGGGAATTCAGATGAAGAATTTGAACCATTGTATGTAAAGCAAAAAGGAAAAAAAACATCATTTACCTATGAGGGTGTAAGTATTATTTTGTTGTTGTTGTTGTATATAGTATTTTCTTATCTTTTCTCTACTCTCATTGAGTATTATTTATGTTGATACTTTTTCCATTTTTAATATGTAAGTTACTAGCAAATGATGTATAGCTATTTATTCACCAAGAGGGTATGGGTAATGTGGTATTAAACTAATAGATGTTTGTGCAACTGGCTGTTAGTCATATAAATTTCATCATTATCAATTATCAGACTATTGATGTTCTCTTTCCTTTTTTCTTGCACATCCTATTTCGGGCTCTTGCGAAGTTGCTTAACTTCTGCATTGCTGCAGAGTCAAGCACTATTAAGCTCTTGGATTTATAATAATCTAATGAAGTTATCATACTTCATTTTTTTTTTTTATCTGCTTTTCTTAGTTTTGCAGTCTTATAAAAAGAAAATTTGCTTACAATACATACATTACATTTGCGAATGGTTATATTATTATTATAATATTTCTTTTTCAATAGATTTATGGGTGTTATGATTTGGCAAAATTAAGGCAACCAGCTGATAGCGAATGTATAGTTATTAATTTACCAAGAGGGGTGAAAATTGATTAGTGAGCAAGTGTACATTTGAGGTGTGATGTGAAGTAGAGGACATTAAACTTATCTAAATTTATTAAAATCTAAATAAAAAATTTATACTTTTTATTGCAACACTCAAATTAAAACACAATAACAGTTACAAACCAAAACCGATACATTTATATCAAGACATTTCTAGCAACAAGTAAGCATGCAACCGATAATAATTGTGCACAGCATTCAAATATTATAAGGTAAACATAAAATTCACAATTAATTACCCGATTTATTATGAATATATATCATTCACATTAAAATGCAAGTTCAGAAATACAGGATTGCAAATTATGTACAAAATCAAATCAATACTACATCATAAAAGCAAAATTAAATAGATGAACAATTATATTCAAGTTAAATTTTAAATTAAGTAATGGTCAAAACACCTTGTCCTTGGCAGTGTACCTTTACACTTCTCATAAAGGAAGCAAAACTTTGTTGGAAGCTCTCCCTATAATGAGCGATACCATGCTCAACAACTCACCAGCATCCCATTTTACATTTAATAATTCAAAATAATTCAAAAAACTGCAAAGCCATGTAAAGTGTCCATTTCAAAATATCGTAGTTGATGGTCGTAAGATGGAAGTTTTCGCCTTAAGCCCAATTTAGAGCTAAGATGTTTTAAGAACCGCTTTTGGATTGCTTCGATTCTATTCATATGTACATCATAATACGGGGCCCATATAATCGAATAGTACTCCAATACACTACGAATAATTGTATTATACATTAATATAATGCTATCTGGATCCCTAAACGCTTGTATAGTCCGTTGAACTGAACGGAACGGAAAACCTAAATCTTTATTGCATTTTGAAACCATGTATCCATAATGTTGTCTGAAGAAAAGTTGATCATCTATCCTCACTCCCAAATCCTTAACTTCAGTGTTACATTTCAGTTCCTCCTCTCCTACCTTATAAGAGTGGAGTACTGGAGTTTTATTTGACTGAACGTTAGAAGATGACATTTACTAACATTGAGCGTCATGTTATTATGACGCTCAATGTGAGCGTTATTTTAAAAAAAAAATGGTTTCAGAATAATGGATTTTAATATGATTTCCATGGTCTCCTCTTGTTAAACAAGTTAAACAAAATTTTGTAAAAAGTGTAGGTCAAGGTGTGCATTTACTATATATAAAAATAAAATAATAAACTTACTGTACTGAATAAGTTTATTATTTTATTCTGAATTCGCTTTTACATATTTTACAATATTCAAAGCGAATTCACAGGATTATACTATGTATTGCTAAGTTTTTTTCAAATATTTGCACATTGTTGTCAGACATAATTTTGGTGAATAAATCATATTGGATTGATGACTGATCTTTAGTAGGATATAAGAAGATGACTCTTAAGTTGTTTATTTGTAAGTCTCATTCATGAGTGATATTGCTTGTGATATTGATAGTGTGCCTTCTCTTCTCCCTAGGGGGCTTTGTGAGACTGGAATTTATATTTTTGTATTAATTTTATGTCTTTGTAAATTTTTTGTGAAGCTCATTCTTTTTTAACCATATGAATTTCATAATCCCATTAATACTGGTAAAGAAGTAATTATCAAAAGAATAATCTTGAGGAACTGGATTATTTTTTATTTTTTAATGTCCACTGGCCTTTTTTAGACTGTTTGATTAGTTGCCAGCATTTCTACGTTGTTTTTTCTTTATGTAATTCTAATTCTCTCTAATTTTGAGTTAAAATTCCGCCATATAATAATCGATTGAACGTAGTAATACTGACTCATCTATGATAATCCGAAATGATATTATGTTTCATATAATTTTTTATTTACAAAGTAAAACTTTTATTTATATACTAGATCGTGTGCGACGCGATGAGGATTTAATAGGTGATGGTTTTTATTGTGTTAGGTTTAGGTTTAAAGACATTTATTCTCATTAAGACATATGCGCCACTTACATGAGAACATAAATACAATAACAATTTACAACATACATTCGTTGTCGTACATATAATAACTAAGTTGTTAACATTAAAATATAATGTTTTTAACAAAGAATACAATAACCCAGTTGAACAATCATAACACACATCCATTGCTATACATTTCACTTCACTAATGTTATGCATTAACAGATACATAATTATACACTTAGTTTACCATTGCACTCAAAACAAAACCAATACAGCTACAATTTACAATACTATAATTAACTATTCGCAAGATTTTAAGGCAGAAATTATCGTGGTTTCAATTGATTAATTAATTGGAGCAAATTACCAGAACTCAATTACGTGGTTTGCTAGTCGCTTTTTGAATACGTCGAACGAGTCAACATTTTTAATTTCCGAGGGTATCCTATTAAAAAGGCGCGCGCCATCGTAAGTTACCGACGTTTGGCCGTATTTCATTCGAGGCTTGGGCAGAATAATGAAACTAGCGCGTCGAGTGCAGGGGTGCCCAACCTTTTTCCGCTTGGTAAATTTTAGTTCAGTGTGGATTTTACTGTTAATTGTTTTTCTTACAAATAGGCAAGTATTATAAATGTATAATTGCTTGATATTCATCAATTTAGTTTCGCGATAAATTTTATCGGTTGCTGTTCGAAAATTGTAATTGAAAAGAATTTTTATGATTTTGTTTTGGAGGACTTGTAATTTTTCTAATTTAGTTTTGGCAGCACTTCCCCAAATTTCGATGAGATATAATAAATTGCGGTTTTTTATTGTGTTTTTTTTATTAATTGAGCTTTGTATGATGTATTCTATACTGATCTGAAAGCGAAAGTATAACAGGTTACGTCCGTCAATAGTTTACAATCCTGTTTAAATCATCAAAGTAGAGTGAGGAAATAAATTTCACCTAGGTAACGTGCGGGCCTATTTAGGGCTAAATCATCATCACCAGTAAAATTATAAATGTACCACTGTTGGGGTACAGGCCTTCCCTATGAATCAAATACATATAGAGAACTGACTCGGACCCGCCATAAAGACGCAGTGCGGATTGATAGGTAGGTCTTAATGACTGCATATGAAGTCGGGACCAATAGCTTAAAGTGACTTTTGACACAAATAGGAGCTCGAAATAAAAAATTTTTGGTCACCCATCCTATGCCTTACGCCCTTGCGAAAGTTGCTTATACTGTAGGCATCTCTAAAGAACGGGCGCATTACACTTTGACTCAAGAATTATGTATGAAAAAATTATCCGCAAGGTGGGTGCCGCGATTGCTTACAGTTGACCAAAAACGCGTTCCACAGAATGTTTGGACCGCTTTAAGAGCAATACAACTGATTTTCTGCGATGGTTTGTTACTACAGACGAGACTTGGGTTCACCACTATATACCTGAATCAAATCCCCGGCTCCAAAGAAAGCAAAAGCCGTTAAATCAGCGGGGAATGTCATGGCGTCAGTATTTTGGGATTCGAAAGGTATATTGATGATTGATTACCTTCCAAAAGGATAAAACAAATGGCGAATATTATGCTGATCTACTGGATAAATTACAAGTGTGTATTCGTGAAAGAAGACCCGGCCTGGCTAAAAAAAAATAATCTTTCATCAGGATAATGTGCACGTTCACACGTGCATCACTGCGATGGCGAAATTCAAAGAACTAAATTATGATTTGCTTCCACACCCAGCTTATTCTCCTGATCTGGCACCATCTGACTTTCATCTATTCCCTAAGCTCAAAATTTTTTTAGGTCGACAAAGATTTGAAAATAATAGCGAGGTGATGTCTGCCGTGGACAGTTATTGTGAAGAGCTTGAAGAAAACCACTTCAGGGATGGCATCAAGGCTTTAGAGCATAGATGGATGAAGTGCATAGCGCTTCAAGGAGACTATGTCGAAAAATAAATACACTTTTAACACACTAATTTAAGTTTTTCTATGCTAAGCTAGCTATTTATCATCCCGCCCTTATATATACCCTAATGCATAGTTTAAATTTTAGCTCATAATCTTAACACGCTTACTTTTTTCTAACGAAATAATTGGTCTAGTTAAGAAATAGGAGATTAATATCCATTTTCACTTACCCAGAACAAGGCGTAGCTTAATTACGAAACGCCTAATATTACGAATCGCCTAAGCAGATTAGTTTAATTTCAAATAATTATTTTTTTTCTTTTAAGCCTTGACATATTTATGACCTGTCATTTACGCAAATGCCTAGCGCAAGGCGCCGCATAACGAATATCATAGCTTTAGACATTGCTTAATTTCTTTAGGTGGTTCCTAGTCAATGGTGAAATGAATTTTGCCTAAATTATTTTGATATATCTGCAATATACGATATATAGTACGAAATAAATAAATTTTGGTTATATTTCGGTTATACTTCTCGTTCCCGCTCACAACAAAGCGCAACTACGTATATTGTTAAAAGTAGTTCTATAAATATGAGTCCTTGTTTTCCGTAAATTACTAAAGAAAAGTTGGGAACCAAAGTAACATATGTCGTCTTAGGATGCAAATTTGTCGAAAAATTCCTTCGTCGCGTACGCGAGTGTTCAATGTAGAATGTCATAAATGAACTGCATTCCCCTGACTGCCGCCAGCGTCGTAACTTTTTGAGGTTTAAAAAATGCGTTATATACTATATCTGCTGTTTGGCGAGCAGTAGCACACATCTCATGTGGGACAGTGAGTCGAGCCCGGCAAACATATCTGCCCGATGGGCCCTCGAGTTCTTACCCACTATAAACTGTACGGTAGAATCTCCCGGTTGGGGATAGGTTCTGAGATCCGGCAAGCCGAGTTCACCAGGACCCATCCGAAAAATCCTAACCTTACCTAACTCCTACCTCTCCTCGTGAAGGCATGAGGCATGAAATGTAAAAAAATAAAATAAAAATATATTTCTTTGAAAAAGAAAATTGAAAATCGAGTCAACCAAAGAAATTGCATTTTAAATATTCTATTTCTTTTAGTTGGAAGTAAGTTCGAAATCGGATACCGATGATAATGAGATAACAACTGCGGATAACATAGAGAATGAAGCACCAGAAAAGAAAAAGAAGAAAAAGAAAAAGCGACAGCGAAAACCTAAATCTAAACCTGAACCAATAATTCCTGAAGGAGTTGAGGTATTAATTGTTTTTTTTTCTTAGGAAAACTTATATTCACTTTCGTCTATCACTAAAATGAGGCGAACTTTAGACACTTACTTTACTTTGACGATGGCAAATTGGCAATCAAAATATTATAATAAACATATTGCATTCCAAGATGAGAAGCTAAAGCCCCTGTATTGTGTTATATCAGAGACAACGAAGGTACCACAACAACCAGACCCGACAGAGACAGACAGACACGGCACGATAGAGAGGACGTCTAACTCACCGAATTGTTCCAATATTCAGTACCATTAGCACTTCTGTGAGATGAATCATACAGACTCTTATTTTTTGTATAATCAACTGCTTTGTTTTTTTTTAATTACCTCGCGTAAATTTAGTTATGCTATGATCGAAATATGGATTCATATTCTCACTTTCACTAATGTCAAATGATCTAGCAAATTCTAACAGATAAGATTCTATAGCGGGAACGAAAATAAGGTAGACTGTCCGGTTCTACACACAATTTGTTACAATTTCAGTTGGACGAAATAGACAGGTCGGTGTTGGAAGTGAATGCAATCCTTGGCGGACCCCCATCACCATCTACGAGTAGGCCAGTGGTAGAGAAGAAGCCCGACCCTGTCAAGAAACTTCTGTCTGTGCAGTCTAAACACTTGAACTACCAAAATGAAATAATAAGGATATTTGGATCCGAGACTCCAGATGAAGACGGAAAAGCGAAGTAAAACATTGCTAGCTTCTACTTGAAATGTTATAGATTCTAAATAAGTAAATATAAAATGATATTTGACTAGCAATTTAAACGACGGGAGTACATAACACTTTGTTTTCCTATAACGTTTGCATATAATTATAAATACGGTATTTAAGGAAAAAGCATTACCACACCATGTACTTTAGTAACGACGAATACACCGCTAGGATGTCATGTCTATGATTGGAGAGAGGTGGTCGCATCCCTGAAATTTATCAGTTAGTTTAATGTAGTAATGTTATTTCAGAAAATATCGTCCACACAATGTAGTCAAGTACAGAAGGGCTACTATAATTCCCACGCCGGAAAATTATCATTATCGAAAAGTTGGTGAGTAAAGTACTGTAATAAGAAATGCGGTCTAAACTGTTGTTGCCGAAAGATTGCGTTCCTGATATTTAATATTCATGAATAGTGATAGGCAATGGTTAACATTGATGTTATTTTTTTACCGACCCAATACAGACAAATGCATTAGATTAGGGTTTCTCAAATTTTATTGATAACTAAAGAAATTACTTTGTTGGTTGAACAGATGATTTATTTAAGCCTCGGACTGAATGCAGAGCCCTAGAGTTCCGCGGACCACCTTTTGGGACTCGCTGTAGTAGATACTTGATTGGTGTAAAGAAAATAAATGCGATTGTATTTTATGAAAATATAAATTATACAACGTGTCCCAAAATTCAACGATAAGCGGGCGCCAAGAGGTAGACCTGCTCATGTGTACTTATGGAAAAATAAGAAAAAAATTATATCTTATTAATCTTTTTTATTATAAAATAAAATTCGAAAATTTTCGAAAATTTACACCTTTTATGATATTTTCAACTACCACGACTACAACTTCTCAATTATGTTCAATCTTTTTTTGGTATCGGATACCTAAGTAGTACTAATATTCGCTACAACTGTTAAAAACACCAAAATGCCCACAGTATTTACACAAAAAACAATCAAAATGTATTTTTTTCCTTAAATTTTCACAGATTTTTACGTTCCGTAATCTTTGACTCACAGTCATGTAGAAAAAAAGTATGGACACTACTGCGGCAAGTTGTTTTTAAAATTGACGCAGCTCATGAAGATTCCATAATGGTATAATACTTCATGATAACTAGCAACAAACTAAAAATCATACCATTTAGAATCAAGAACCAAAGTTGTGAGTAATAAATTGTACTGTTCCGAAATGTTTTAATATTTAAAAAAAATATTGAAATAAAACAATAGTGAGTTTTAGTCTCATTCATTTATTAATAATTAACATTACAGTAAATGTTCAAATTGTTTTCCACCGGCATTAATACATGCACGACATCGCCTTAAAAAAGAGCGTTTTATTTTTCGTGCATACCTTTTAGCATTGATATGTGACGCAGCCTGACTAATTTTTTGCCGAAGCTCGTCCAATGTCGTAATGGGTTTTTCATAGATTTTGTCTTTGAGACAACCCCAATAGAAAAAGTCCAGGGGGTTTAGGTCGGGTGATCGGGGTGGCCATAAGATAGGACCAAGTCGCCCAATCCAACGCCCGGAATACTCTTGGTCCAAGTATTGTCTCACAGGACGAGCGTAGTGAGCTGGGCAACCATCATTTTGAAACCACATATTTTGTAGATCTCTTAAGGGGACGTCTTCAAGCAATTCTGGCAAATCATTTTGTAAAAAGTTCAAATAACTGTCACCATCCAAGTTTCCTTGTAGTTCAAAAGGCCCGATCACTTTTCCATTTAATATGCCCGTCCATAGGTTAACCTTAAACTGATATTGGGATTTTTCCTGTCTCATTAGGTGTGGATTTTCATTGCTCCAGCTGTGTAGGTTGTGGAGGTTTAAATATCCATCTTTCTTGCATGTTGTTTCGTCCGACCATAGTACTTTGTCCAAGAATTGAGGATCTTCCCGGTGCTTTTGAAGCATAATACGGCAAAATGTGATCCGTAGTGGATAGTCCCGTGGTAGCAATGTTTGCACACGTCTGTAGTGGTATGGGTGAAGCCTGTGACGTTTTAAAATTCGATGAGCCGTACTTTTTGGGATTCCCGTAGCTGCTTCTATGGCGCGTACTGAAGTAGTTGAGTCAATGTTTATTTCATTGAGAACTTCTTCATCGTATTCCGATCTAGGTCTTCCAGCGTTGCTTCTGGCTGATGGCAAACGACCCTCCGAGAACGCTCGATGCACATTCATAAATACTCGGTAATCTGGGTATCTTTGGGCGTTCGGGTACCTTTCCCGATACAATCTGCTAGCAGCGTTAGCATTGCACCGACATTCTCCATAAATGAGGTGCATATTAGCGTATTCCATCGGCGTGTATGGTAGCGGCATGATAACGCTAAACAATCCAAAATACGACGAAAGTCCAATTCACAAAACACTATCACAGTCCAAATTAATGCCAGGTTAGTTCAGTTTGCAGATCACTTAATTCCAGTCCAAAATAGAAAGCCAAAAGTCGTTAGTACGAGAGCCACGTCAATTGAATACAGAAAGGTGCGCAGTAAACAAAGGAGCAGAACGTACTGATCCGACTTCAGATTTGCTGAGAACAGGATTTCTCTATGTACCTGCATTGTTGTTATTCTACAAAAAATATCTATCTATCCCTCTCTAACATACCCTTCTCGCTATCTGTTGAGTCAACTATAAGTTGAGCCATTACAAACGTGCGAACTGAGTTAGAAAAACAAATTACGTCAAAGGAATGTGACAATGCCGCAGAACTCGTTTTCGATAAAGGGATGCAGCCGCTCGGGTGCAGGTAGCTGGTAGAATTGGTAATTTGGTATACATAGACACAAGTAAAGGGCGAAGTGGCATGAAAAACAATACTTTCAAAATAGCAGAAATAGAGCATTACCTAATAAATAAATATCTAATGAATATTTATAATTTGGTTCGTTTGTTTACAAATGGTGTGCATATTTTTTTACTGTGACTAGTTATCTTAGATTATTATACCATTTTGGAATCTTGATGAGTTCAGTCAATTTTAAAAACAACTTGCCACAGTGGTGTCCATACTTTTTTTTTACAAGACCGTAAGTCAAAGATTACGGAACGTAAAAATCTGTGAAAATTTAAGGAAAAAATACATTTTCATTGTTTTTTGTGTAAAAACTGCGGGCATTTTGGTGTTTTTAAGAGTTGTAGCGAATAGTAGTGCTACTTAGGTATCCGATACCAAAAAAAGATTGAACATAATTGAGAAGTTGTGGTCGTGGTAGTTGAAAATATCATAAAAGGTGTGAATTTTCGAAGATTTTCGAATTTAATTTTATAATAAAAAAGATTAATAAGATATAATTTTTTTCTTATTTTTCCATAAGTACACATGAGCAGGTCTACCTCTTGGCGCCCGCTTATCGTTGAATTTTGGGACACGTTGTATATCTACAAGATTTGAAAAAATATACCTATCAACAAAATATTAGGTGTTACTTTAATCAGATTTCGATTTTCGACAATTTACAGAAGAGGAAGTTTTATAAGTATAAGATAGGACCACGTTACACAAAGCTAGTTTTGTTTTAATCGTCTGACATATATATTCTTGTAGTTTTTATAGATTATTAAAATATTCTTTACGCAGTTATTTAACTCTAGAATAAAATTAATCGGTACAATGTTATTTGTAATAATGTCGTATTTAAAACTTATTATTTGGTTATGTCGTAGGGCAAAAACTAAGCTACTTTTGACGTAAAATTAAACACAATAAAGTTGGTGAATTAAAGTCTACCTGTCAGAAAGTTATTCTTCGGCGGTCACACTGTAGTAGAGTAAAACTGCTATCAGCCTTTAGGCTTTAATCATGTGTTCTTATTCTTATCAATGAATGTTTTTCTAAACTAAATATTTCCTTAGGTTTTTCTATGTCTCTACTCAAAAAAGAAAATGGATTGTCATACTTTGTTTACAATCACAATGGGGAGTATCAGAAGATGCATAGATATTTCCTCCAAACTATGAACGAAGAAGACTCCCTGCTAATGAACATCCACGTTGAGGCTATGCTAAAGGTGAGCAAACTTAATTTATTAATTTGCTTTGAACTCCATTCTATATAGTTACTGACCGTTAAGTGATTTTTACGGCTACGTAACTTTTTAATAACACTGATTAGTATAAATTGGGTCCATTTTCGGCCTAGACGATGTTTATACGATAAACTTATAGGGCGAAAAGTTAAAACAAGAAAGTTACGGAGACTTACGAAATGTTTGTTGGGTATTAACATATTATAATACTGTTATACGGTTCCGTACATTTTTACTTTGCTAACATAATTATTGAGATCATGTTTCATTTTATTGTTTTGTATTATTATATCAATAGAGTCCAAAAGCATGTGTAACGGATGTCCAGTAAAAACCACTATCTTACTTAACTGTATGAATGGAGTAAATTAACTAAAATTATCTGTACATCGTAATACACTGTACAACTACACTATTTATATTTTATTTGCCTTATTTTTTTGGTGGAAGGTTAACGACCCATAATTATATGAAATCCAAGATTTCATATTTTTCCCCAGACTATGCTTTTGGCATTCGAAAAGTGTGAAGTCTCCTTTACTTATTTTATATTCCAGACTGCAGACAATATGTTTCGTGCGGAAGAATTTACAGCAGCTAATACCATCCTTGAGCAAATAATAACTTATCTACAGTATGCTGCTCATCCGTATTTCAACTTGACTGACGTAAGAACAGTATTATGATTCCATTTATGTATTATTTCAAATGTAACATCAAAGCAAGTAACTGACTATATCAATTGTCCGTTTCAGCAAACTATTCGTCTGGAGTACAAGTATATGGAAAATAGACCATTTTTCGTTGCCGTATTGAAGTATTTGTACATGCTTAGCAACAAAGCTTGTCATCGTACAGCTCTCGAATTAGCGAAACTTCTTTTGAATCTGGATCCCTCAGATCCTCTCGCCATAATATATGTCATCGATGTCATAGCACTCAGAGCCAGAGAACACGAATGGCTGATAGAAATTATCGATTATTGGAGTAAAGAAAGAGACGCTTATTATTTGTTTAACATTAAATACTCTTATGCTTTGGCGCATTTCCACGTTGCTAAGAAGAGAAAAAGTAAGTCAGTTAAATAACCGTTTGTTACTTATTCTAACAGTAATGCTTCGATTGTATTACTTTCCTGTGTCAAACGGTTTTACCACATCTTATGTATCGGAAAGAATATCACTGTTGACTTTTTTTTGCTTCAATTTTACAAAAAATAGCTTAGATAATAGGCCTTCAAGTTGAGGAGTGGGGGCTCGTTACGTCGCAGTTTGGTAGAAAATCTTGACGTCAGCGACATTTCAACTCGTTGTTTATGATTGACGAATTACGCAAAAAATAATATTCTTCAGATTTCTATAATATTCTTAAGATTCAGATTACTTTGTAACAAAGTCACAAACAAACAAAAATTAGTCATCATCCCTATTGATCTCTATCAATCAATCAGATTTCCACACATAATTGCTCTTTAGCATTTCGATAATGCCTCTCTTCGCTTGTTGGCACACCTAATCTTTAATGTGACCTAAACAACTTAACTTTTTCATTTTACAATAGCGATTCGCTTCTAGCACTTCGCCGGCCGCTGCCGCGGTACGCTCGCTTTGCTCGCTCGGATCGTGCGTTGTTGTAACCTATATGTTTCAGTTGCTATGCTTAATACAAAATTCTTGAACAAAAATCTATAACCATATCGCAAAGTACTGTGCGTCGTAATCAAATATGTTTCAACACGCTGCATGGTTTTTCTTCATTGCCACAACGCGTTGTAGTGACTAGCATGACAGCCAAGACACGGATTTCGCTATGTGGTTATTTTGTGAATGCTACTACAACGCGTCGTGAGTGTTTTCATAAGAGCCATAATTCGAATTTTGTTAGTGGATATTTTATTGTGACCACTGCTCGTTGTGAACGATTTCGATCTTCGAACAAAACACATATAAACAAACATAAAATATTTCTTCTTTATAATATTAGTATAAATAAAGTATGTACATACTTATAAAAACACAATTGTTTTGCAGCAAATGAGTATGATTACGCCGATGGATTGTTGAAAGAGGCCATACTTGCCTTTCCGTCTGTGACTGTTAAGCTTCTGGAGGCCTGCAAGCACGACCGTAATTCTAGTATACCAAAACATTCTTTGTTCGTTAATCCCTTGGAGGATAACAAGTGAGTTATAACTATAGTGAAATAATTATCATAATTATATTATTGGATATGGTAACTTCAGAAATATTTGTATACTTAAAGTAAATTAATTGAGATTCAATTCTTTCGTAGGGCTTCGGAGAAGTGCGCTCCGGCTATAACCCTGTTCGCGAAATTGGTTTGTTGGAAATGGCGTGAGCCCGCGGTCATGGAATGGTTCTTGAGAAATGTCAAAGAACTGATACACCAATATGATACTGATCCCAGTGTTAAGGTAAACTTATACTAATACAAGTTGTTGTATTTCCTTCTTCGGAAACACGAATATAACTTCTCGGAAATGTTTAATATGTAGATATATTTTAATAAAAAACGGACAAATGACAAAAGACGGTGGCGCACATGAAGGGTTCCATACGTATGTCACGCAAAATAATCACTTTTGTGGCATGGGGGACGGACATTCAATATTTATTTTCTATTGTTTTTAGTTGTTTGTTGTTATGGTGGCAACAGAATACACCATCTTGGTTAATTTCAGTCTAGCTACAAAATATTTATATAATAATTCATGTGATACTTGGTGATATCCAAATCTCACAGTGATAATCTCTCGTTATTGCCTTTGAGTAACTAAAAAGTAACGGGATATCGTAATTCTGCCTTTTAATTGCTCTCCTTTGAGCGTGTTAATGCATACTTTATTGATACCACTGTCGGATCTTCCGTTCGATGTCTTCCGATCCTAAGAAATTACACACTCAACTGACACTCAAATATTAATTTTGACGATTCAAACAATAATTTGAAATTCCTAATATAGAAGTCATAAATGAAATTTTAGACGATTTACAAAAATTGTTTGAATACGTAAAACTAGAGAACGCAGAGGCTCGAAGACGTCATTCAACCAGTAAGAGAAAGAGGAACACTGTAAACTTGTCTCGCTCTACTCGCGTAATTAGCACAAAAAGGGAGCATAGTAGAACGATTCGAATGTTTGTTTATAGTTATTTGTTTACATTTATAGTTGCAGTTATGTCTTAATTGTCTGGCTGTATTACAACTATAACGACTTCTATTTCATGTAGAACGGTTACTATTTTGTAATAATGAGGTAGATGCAAGAGACATATTCAGACTTATGTTTTAACTTCTTTACAGATCAGATTAAAAGACTTGGCCATCCAAAGACAAAGCTTGTTCCCTGTTTGCCCTATCCAGATTCAACGGCATATGCACGTTGTTCATCCGATGGCAAACCTACTCGTGGAATGGGTAAGCTATGTCTTCCTGCAGTGCACACTTCTACAAAAAGAGTAAAGGTCCTGAATTTGTTTATCATGTAACCTGATGCATGATCCGACATATTGTGACGTCCTGTTCTTTCTCTGATATCTGTTTATTTATTAATTAAAAAACCCAAAGCGTCTGTTTTGTTGACATACCGATATGACGTCATGAATATGGTGGATAGTTTTCGCGGGCATAAAGAAGTGTGTTTATTTTAATGACATATTTTTTGTGGCTTAACAAAATAAAAGAGTACAGTAGAATTTAAATTCGTTAGTTTAAATTGCTAACAGATTTAAATTAAGACAATTTGCTTTTGCATACACAGGACATGCCTTCTATGGGTCGATCCCATGCATGGGACCCATTGCCTGCGTCCGACGGCATCAACCGTTACGGCTACGGGCAAGTTAATGAATCATCTGATTATTACTCGGCGCTCTACAATTTGATCTTCTCCATAAGGCCGGACTTTATTCAGCAAGGGTCAGTATCATTATTATTCATATAATAGGGATGACGATTTTTTTTGTTTGTTCATCAAGGAGATTGTTAAATTTTTTTAAACAAAATTATCGTGTGGATGTCACGCTCTTGTACATTTCTTGTTAAATTGAAGGATAAAGCAAATAGTTCCCTAATATATTTATATTATCTTAATGACGGACCAAATAGAATTTCTTTATTTTTTTCATTCAGTCATCAGCCCTGTTTAGTTATTTTAAAAAAAGCATGCTTTAAACAGATTAAATTAGTTATCGTTCACATGTCAGACTGATTTGAATCCGTTTGACATAGTATGTAAGTCGCTGACCCAGAGATGGATGTGTAATGCTAATAAATGATTTTGAATATGGAAGTCACTTTTACAGGATAAAATAAGAACTGAGACTGAGTCTCTTTTGGATAACTCTTCCCCATAAAAGTTAGGGTACATCGGAGGGGATCTAGTGGGTAGACCCAATCGGGTAATAAAAAAATGTATGCGGATTATCTAGAGGAAAACTTTGATATCAGTGCACACTTTTTTTTCTATGGTTTAGTAAGAAATTGTATCACCAAGGGGGAGAGGAGTCAAAAACTGTTGAAAAAACATCACCTGATTAATGGGCGGTCCCTTAGTAATGTACGAGGGTGGATTGAAAAGTTCGCGGCCTCAGCAAGAAAACAATATAAAATATAAGCAAAAGTAATTTTATTTTTCCACGTAATCTCCACTTAACTCTATGCACTTCTTCCATCTGGTTTCCAACGCCTGTATGCCGGTCATAAAAAAGTTCTTCAAGGCCTTCAAAAAAGTCACCCACCGCAGCTTCGACCTCCTCATTTGATGAAAATTTTTGACCTCCAAGGTGTTTTTTAGGTTTGGGAATAAATGAAAGTCTGAAGGTGCCAAATCAGGGGAATAGGCGGGATGAGGGAAGTAATTCAAAGCCACAATCACGAATTTGAGCCATAGATTCAACAGACGTGTGAACGCGTGCATTATCCTGATGGAACGACACTTTCTTGCTGAGTAATCCTGGCCTTTTCTCTTTGATGGTTTCGCGCAAGCGACGTAAGAGGGTGCAGTAATAAGCCGAGTTTATAGTTTCACCTTTTGCAAGGTAGTCCACCATGATGACACCCTTAGCATCCCAAAAAACTGACTCCATCACCTTGCCAGCTGACAAAATTGTTTTGGCTTTTTTGGAGTCGGTTCATCACGTTTTTTCCACTGCTTGGATTGCTGTTTTGACTCTGGGGTGTAGTGGTGTACCCAAGTTTCATCCATTGTTACAAATCTGGATAAAAAATCTTGTGGATCAGCCTCAAACATTTCCAAACAGTCGCGAGAAATCGTGAGGCGTATTCGTTTTTGTTCGACTGAAAGCAATCTGGGTACCCACCGCGCAGAAACCTTAGAAAATCCAAGTTCATTGACTATGATGTTTTGTGTTCGTTCATACGTGTATCTGCTATTTTCCTGATGGTTAATCTCCGATCTGTCAATATCAGATCACAGATTTTCCCGATGTTTTCTTCAGTCGTAGTCGTCATAGGCCGGCCAGAGTAAGGGTCATCTTCAATACTCTCTCGTCCGCGTTTTAATTCAGCAACCCACTTTTTCACAGTCGTATAGGACGGAGCAGATTCCCCAATGTTGTTAACATATCTTCGTGAATCTCTTTTGGAGTTATTTTTTTTAAAAAACAGGTATTTGATGACAGCACGTTGCTCAATTTTCTCCATTCTTTAAAAATACTGCACAAATGCTTACAAAATTCAGTCTAATTTAAATACAGTTAATGCTATTGCGATAGAATTTTATAATTTGACAACCAGAGAGTAAAATAATCGATTGGGGTCAGTTACATTATATAGTTAAAGTATTTATGTGTTAGGCCGCGAACTTTTCAATCCACCTGGTATGTGATGTTGCCTAATAATAAACTCATTTATTGTGCGAACATTGATCATTCCAATCCAACATTGCCAGGGGTCAAGAGATTCGCAACGCTGTAGCACCAAATCCCCCAGAGGGGAATCCTCCAGCGGAACGCGTCCCGGAACAGCCGCCTGTGGTAATAAGGGCCGCTAATGACCGAGATTCCTCCGTCCACTCCAGCGATTTTGACACAGACGAGGAGGCAGAAGCGGAGCTGGAAGCTATGCGTATGAATTTTGTTCAAACTATCATTCAGGCCTCCGTTGTTCATTACGACGATGAGTCAGATCGCGAATGGGATCTAAACTTCGATGATCCATGAAGACCAGACATAAGAATTGTATGGGACTGGTCTGAGAAGTGAAACGTTACGGGATGTTTGAGTTTGTCATAATTGCCGTCGAAAATTAATAAATATAGGTATTTGTGCCTATATTGATATTAATAATCCTTCATTACGCTTTGTTATTTTTTTGAGGATATAATATTTACCTTGTAATAAACTGGCTGCGGATCCGATAAACTCGTCATTCTCAATTATAGAACAATAAATCCATGATGATTTATTGGTATTATATAGCGATTGGTATTAGTGTAAAGTGCGCTGTATATACATTTTGCTTCGAGCGATTAATTACATTTTTAGGTCGATTCCTAATGCATACTTGTAGGAAACTTCTCCTTCCGAATTGACAAGGATATTATCACTGTCTTTTTTTTTCGTTTCGTCTCGATTCGTTACAAAAACGCGATTCTCAATTCAGTAATTGTTAAGTTTAGACGTTTCGATGCGAAACGAAGACTTTATTTTATGATTCAATATCACAACATCTGTCGTCGGAATCAATATAACACTAAATAAGGTAATTAGGAGATTAATGATAAATTGTTTCAAGTACAGCTAATAAATAATAGGTATAAACAATATTTCTAGTAACTCATATTTGAAGTAGACTTAAAATATTATAGAATTTCATATAATCATCTGCATTGAAATACTCTTAAAGCAAATTAATATTGATGACATGGATAAAGTAGTATGTACACACATCGTCACATCATGCTGCTACAAAAGACGAAATAATAATGAATTTTGAACTAACTAGAAGATTAACGATAAAATGTTTCTATAGCTAGCTTATAAATAATAGATATGAACAATATTTCTAGTTACTCATATTTGAAGTAGACTAACTTAAATTATTATAGAACTTCATATAATCACCTGCATTTCAATATTTTAAAAGCAAATAAAACATTGACGACATTGAAAAAGTAGTATGCACACATAACATCACATCATGCTGCTACAAAAGATGAAATTACAATTTAGAACTAACTTTCGACTGTACAATGTGGGTGCTGGAAGTTGACGTCATTAAATATCTACGGAGTTTTAATATCACATGTATATGCTTGGGTTTGGTCTCAATAACTTTTTTATTTATTGCTTTTATGTTATTTAACTCGCCTTTTAAAGTTTACTGTTCGCATCTCTCCGGTAGACTGTTAAAGAATGTCTAATGTCCTATATAAATGCAGTTAATTAAAACATCGAAGTGCGATGCCATTAATACCATTATTATTTAAAACTAAGCTGAAATCAATGTTAGGTCCAAAAAGTTTGTGGAAAATATACTTACTAAGCGTTATTAAAAACGTTGAATTGTAACAACTTAATTAGGGTATTTTGAAATGTATAACTTATCTTTATTTCGTTTGGTAAAAATGGATAAATCCTTGAGTCCTTACTGCTTTACATACATACGCTATTAATTCATTTTAATCTGGCACACGAAAGTTGATCCTGGGTTTTCTCCACATCTAGAATCTATTTATTAAATGTAGAGTATGACATTGGATGCCAAATTGATAGTTATCTTCAAGGATTACTTGAGGATTCGAGTAGGATGATTTTTTTTTCTATCATTTAAGTACTTCTTTTTTTTTAGATGCTGAATCTAAACATTTATATTGACACAATAAAATGTGTTGAAATAACGTTTATAATTCAATAGTCATTTACAATATATAAGTAATTAAAAGTATCAAAATTATTTGTTCCTACTCATCATACAAATAATATGAATATTATGTGGTTATTTAGGTTCAATTTCGTGTACCGGACATTTAATAAAAAGTTCTTTGTTGATGTGAAATAGCAGAATCTGTTTTTAAATTCAATGTTTTGCCTTCTCTGTTTATACTGAATTATATTATATGAGGATATTAAGAGTATGTAGTGAAAACAATGTTTTAATTTAAAATGAAAACTTGAATCTTGTTGGTGTTTTATGTGCTCAGTCATTATCAGAGCTACTGAATTTTTAATTCAATATTAATTCATACTACATCAATATAAAATTCGATTAGTTACGTGTAATATGGCTTTTGAATTAAATCAAAATATTATTGCGCGCGATATACTAACTTATTTGCATAATTTGTGGAGATGTAATCAGATGAAAAGAGCTGAAAGTGTCGGGGAAGGGGTTTTATTTGCGATTAGGTACTATTTCCCATTTATCGCCACTTTTGATAAACGGGAAAAGGTACCGGAAAATCACATCGTTATTATAAGTATGTGATTAAAATCGTACTGTGTTTAAAGGTATGATTTTTATTTACCGAAAATATATGACGAATAGTTTTAATCGCTGTTCGATCCTATTTAATAGAATAATACTAATGCACAGATACAATGAGTTTTTCCGTATTTTGATCACATGGTGGTGGGTCGTATCTAAGATTTTTTCCAATCGGGGCAAAAATTCTATTTATTCATTATATTTAATTCTATTTATTAATTATATTGTGTAAAATACCTGAAATAAAGTTTCATCCCCAATTTTATACCCTAAGGGGTGGAATGTATCAAAATCCTTTCTTAGGGGATGCCTACGTGTATACTTTTATGCATGCAAAGTCTCAGCCCGATCGGTTTAAAATTGACAAAGTTTCATCCCCTATTTTATCCCCCTGGGGGTAGAATTGATCAAAATACTTTCTTAGGCATCCGCTTAGAAAGGATTTTGATCAATGTTATAAGATCTACCTCCATGCCAAATTTCAGCCCGATCCGTCCAGTGGTTTGGGCTGTGCGTTGATAGATCACTATGTCAGTCAGTCATATTTGAGTTATATATATTTATATGTTCAGCACGGTGATGGTCTCAAAAGTTTACCCACCACTGAAACACAAGTGTGCCATCTTAAATTAATATCACTGTTTCATTAGCGTTGGAATGATCTACATAATTTGTATCGAAAGTACTTATATTTATATGCTACCATCTACTAACACCTCGACGATATTTGTCTTAGATACGAATTTTTTGCTAACAATGTACAGTAGGTTAATCCTATTTTATGTGTAGTTCTTTCAACAACTGAAATCTCTATGTGTTAGTAAAGTGTGCTCAATAAATGCTCACCATGATTACTAGAATTTACTAGACTTCGGTGCATATTTTACATAAAGAAACTGGCTAATCTAACAGCTACACGAGGATTAGATCCTGTACCTGCTGACACCTCACATTCCTTGCTTGCTTGATCATATTATAATACTCTGTAAAAATCGGCCTAACATAAAATTTAAAAAAGGTGTCAATAGTTTCTATTCTCGACATGCTTAAGGCTCAGACCGCACTGTGGTTTTTACACAATTTTGTAACACATTAGCTGACTGGAAATAAACGCGTGCAGCAATGCACATGCTTTTTGCGTTTTCACCTTGCGTTTGAATATCTAAAACGCGCGCTTAAATACAGTGTGATTTCAGCCTAACATGGAAATTAGATTTACAATACATAGGTAGTAAGTGTCGTTTCATTACATTTTAACAGTTAAATGTCTTAGTATCTTCACTATTTAACGATATGTCTATTAAAATATTGGTAAATAAACTATGTAGTGTTGTGTACTCATTTCTTTTATTTTAATGATGAATCATTTTAATTTTAATGATGAACTTCCTTATCAAAATGACCTTTTTTGACAAAAATTTTCGATGCGGCTTTGTTGATTTTTACAGTGTGTCGAATTCTTGTGATAACGTTAAGTTTAAATATCTGTATTAAAGTTAAAAATGATCATTAGCCGCATCTACACCAAACAATCCCTATTGAGCTTGCAATTATATTATGGTAGCTTTCTGTCAGCGGCTACGCTTGCGTGGTCCTGTACTATATATATATATATATCTAAAGCTCTTAAATCATCCGCTCTGTACAGATCTCAGCGTACCGACAGTGGCAAACGACTATGCATACATGTAGTATTTTTTCGCTTTTCTATCACCGACTTTAGTTAAAAACGCAATTATTTCTGATTTGTTGTTTTATTTATAAGTACCACCGAAGAACTTAACACTCAGCTAGATGCGCTCTATATTCCACAGTTAGCATAATTTTTGGAAGAATTCTTTAAATAATCTTCGGCTGTAAAATTAAAGAGCGTGAAGTTTTCTAATGTATAATTATTTGTATAGTTATTTTCTTTTATTTTTCTTATATTTATTTTGTTGTCATTTTTCTTTTATTATGTTGCTTTAGATCGCGAACCACCTTCAAGTTCACGCCGTTAAGAGACGAGTCCTCTCCTGATACCGAGATAGAGCTTTTAATATGGCACGTCGCACTTAACTTCTGAGCAGCAAAGTAAAGACAGTTGAATATTTGAAATGTTGCAATTTTAATAAAATAATAACTACTGATAGTGTATCATATGAGATGTTTCTATTTATTCGAAAAGTTGTACAGTTCGTTTTGAGATAAGGTTATTTTTTTTTTGTGTTGATCACCAGTATGTTGAATAAATAAATGCATGCTTTATATTCTTTATTTTTTTACCTTTTTTATATTATTTTGCAGTTCTTATCGTAACAGATTTAATTTCTTACAAAGCACATTTATAATTGGATTGCATCTTATTATGCATGATCAAGTTTGCTGTTAACCTGCATCGGACTTGAAGCGTCAGCTTAAGCGTGATGTACGATATCCACCAACCAGACGCAGGCGGAGCGCTGCAGTCTTGACGGTAGACTTGATTGTGTATGTGGTCCGTAATACCAGAGTAAAGGAATAAAAAGACGCGCGCGCGTCTAAAATCTAATACTATCAATGTCATTTACAATGTAGACTCTTTCTCCGTAATATATGAATAAAGCTGTGGACTTGGGAAGCTTTGTGTGATAGGCAAATAGAAAAACATTGGGCTATGATATTTTTCTCTTGCATTATTTTGTATTATTACTACGTGTAGCTTTGGATCTCTTTTTACCTAAAACAGAAAACTACTGTAAAGGGTAGTATTTGCAACTTAGTAAACAATAAGTTTGTGTAAGAACGTAGACAACAGAGGATAAAATGATTAATGTCATTCTATATGTATGTATTATGTCATTCTATGTAAACTTTCAAAAATGGAAGATATAAGATAATTATTTAATAGTGTAATAATGAATGTGAATAACGATTCATAACGAATTGGTCCATAATATTTCAGCCAGATGTTTCACAGTCACCCGACGTCAATATTTTGCATTATTGCCACAGAGTTCTGTGAAAGATTTTCCTTTTGTGGTTTAAGGAGTAAGTACACTTTGTATAAGACGCATGCGTTTAGTGTTGAAGCCTGGGGGCCAATTCTACTAAATAAATTTTGTTTAAATCGAATCGAAAATGGATCGAACCCGAACGAAACTACAGTTTTTAATGGTTTTTTCTATTCTACTAAGTGACATACGATACAATTCCAGCTAAAATAGAACTGGAATTGTATCGTAGGTTTCGATCTGTTTTCGATTCGATTTAAACAAAATTTATTTAGTAGAATTGGCCCCCTGAACTCCTAGCCAGGAAACCGAACGCGGAAAATTAATCACATACGTTCATTTTCCGTTTTTTGGTCAGGATTAATGTGATAACCAGTTTTTGATTCCCTTCCCATATGTTTAAGAAAAGTAGTGTTACCTTTGTAGTAATTATTATTACGTAAGAGTCGAAAGAAAAAGTATAAAGTTTGTTTTTTGTTGTTTTCCCTTAGAATTAATGACCGTCTTTTTGTGTGTTTTTATAGTTTTTGAACAATAACATTCATATCTATAGTCGAGAAAAAAATTTACTTCTATTTCACCATTATACGCGGGTGACATACAGCCGGTTTCTGAATTGAGAAAAGTACAAAATCTCAACTAATTATTCTCAATAACTTAAGTTTTTATGTGTCATAAGAAAAAAAACCCTAGTTTTATGAAATTTCTATCAACAGGTCATTAAAGAAAACTAAAATCAGATATGTACCAAAACCTGTTTAAGTACAGTTGGAGACGTACTTAACTATTCAGAAACCGGGTGATAGTCTATAACTATGCCGGCGAAGTCACGGGAAATCAGTTAGTTAGCGATCAGTTAGCTCACAATATTTTCTTTTTTAGCCATACTCTCATTGTACTTAAGGAATGTGTTATGCCTTCATGAGAATGCTGCTACTGTTGTGTATCATATATTTATCATGATGTGTTACACGATGCCTCTAATGGGTGCAATTCTTGCTGATAATTTCATAGGGAGATATAAGTTAGTAGACTTGGTTTTCAAATGATGGATTTATTTTATGATTAGTGTGAAATATTGACAACCACCAGCGTCGGTTCAAAGAAAATTGACGTCCTAGACAAACACTGGAGAGACCGATAAAAAAACAGCAAAATAAAAGACTTAAATACTGTAACTTTGCTAATGACAAAATAAATTCTTTATGTGCTATTAATCTCGGATATTGGTACTTTTGCATCTTACCTAAGTACTGCGAACATCTGTCAGTGGCAGTCGCCTAGTTTGCCTATATATATGGACGGGCTGATTCTGAAATCCATGATTCAGTGACAACCCGTAGAATAATGTATACTCGAGATCGTCTCGTCTACACCCAAATGTCACTTTTCCGGTACTACTAATTTACGTTTATTTCAGGGTTATACTTTATTTCTCTGAAATATATTTAATTGGAACCATACTAATGTGCTGTTCTGCTATACCACCATTTATGTTGCCGCCGACGTATGTATATAAGTAGTTTTCGTTAAATAAGAGCATAATTCACCGTGTAGGTCCCGCAATTCTGTAAAAATCCAAACCTGAATTCGAATTCACTTTAAAAAGCGGCTCAACCTTTAATTGGTAATAATGTTTAGTGGCATAAGTAAAGTGAGTTACGAAATGACATATGAATGGAATATCTAAGACACAATCGATTTTGTTTTGTATTTTTATACAAAAAATGGAATCAATGGAATTTCTAAACTAAATAACGTGAATCCGGACACATGAGTGAATTCGAATTCGGGTCTGGATTTATACAGAATCGAAGGGCTGTGCTTAAAACATCTTTTAAACTACACCACTGATTTTAGAGCGGTTTTCAATAATGTACAGACAGGGGCGTCTCGCGGCTGCGGTTACAGATGGCCCTGGATGTATAAATTGTAGCTAAAGTCGAGAGCACATGAATCTTTTTACTTGAAGTACGAGCTTTACATCTACGGCAATTGTAATAACACACAAGAGTCCAACTTTTAAACTTACATGAGCTCTTGATTGTACCATAAAAAAACTTGTAAATAAGTTATTACATTTATAAGAAAAATAGAATAAAAATAATTTGAGAGTTTAAATGTGCACCACTCCTCTTCTTCCGCTTTAACAATAGCATAGAGCAGAGCGTAGTTGAGTGTAGGAATTGGTAAGTTCATTTCAGTTTCGACTTAAGGAAATGATCTATTAAGCAAGTGAAGTCAAACACTTAGGGCTTTTTAGAATTTCTAGGGGAAGGCCCTCATGCTCCTTGGCGACGCCCTTGGAACAGTCATTCAAGAGGAAAGTTTAATTATGTATATTTAATACAGGACCACGCATGCGAAGCCGATTGCGGAGAGCTAGTACATACTAATTGCATCGTTACCTATTATTTATATTTAAAATAAATTTCTTAACGTAAAGTATGGACGTTTCTCTTAATTAAATTTCACTACATAACCAGTGGTCGGAATTAGGTAGAGTTATTCATGTACTTACACTGATTTCATACAGCGAAACAATAAAGTGGATATGCCTCAAATCCCGAGATTAATTTTAAAGAGCAGAAAAAATCCCGTGATTTTTTAAATAAAAAGTTATTTACTTTTACACATTTAAACTACTGCACGCACGACGTTGCCAAACTTACATCAATGAAAGAAAGAAATAAAGAAAGAAGAAATAACGAAATCCCGGGAAGGTCCACATTAATATCAACATTTCGATGCAAGTACATAAATAACTCTACCTAATTCCGACCTCTGTACATAACAGAACTACTTCTATGATCGGGCTTGCATTGATCGCTACTGGGACAGGAGGAATTAAACCTTGTGTTGCGGCTTTCGGAGGAGACCAGGTAGGAGTTATATTTATGTATACCAGGTAGGTATACCTTTGTAATTTATACCAGAATAAGAAAAACTGTAAATTACTTGGTAAAAACATACTCAGCATTGGCTACTCTTCTGAGTCTTGGTTAAAGTCAAAATAATCTTTATTAAATTATTACATGTACTTTTGAATGGTCCAATATTTTCCGACCATTCTTTTCGTTACTTTCGGAGTCTATTCAATGCAAACGAACGAAAAATATATTAGTATAATTAATAGTTGTTTACTATGTGCTATTTGTTCTCTTTCATCAGCAAAATGATGAATAAAATATTTGCGAGTCGTTTTGTTCATATGTATAGGGCAAAATATGTTTATCTGCAGTTCCGACTCCCTGAAGAAAATCAGCGACTGCAGAAATTCTTCTCGACGTTCTACTGCATGGTCAACTTGGGCGGATTCATGGGTATGATCGTGACTCCGGCCTTGCGCAGGAGCATTATGTGCTTCGGTGATGACGCGTGTTACGCGCTTGGATTTGGCTTCCCGGCGTTACTTGTCCTAGTTTCTATAGGTATTGGTATTATTTTAGTAATAAGGAGGTAGGAAAGTCATTCTATATTTCCCACTAAAAGATTACAAACATTAACATCTAAATGTAAATTAAGCATCGGAGGGTTCTGAATTCTGTAAAAATCAGCAACAGGGGGCCAATTCTACTCAATAAATTTTGTTTAAATCGAATCGAAAACGGATCGAAACCGAACGAAACTACAGTTTTTAATGGTTTTTCTATTCTGCTAAGTGTCATACGATACAATTCCAGCTAAAATAGCTAGTATATAATAATATTATAATTTTGGATAGTGCAAGTAGTTGAGATTTGGTTTTTACGTAAACATTATCAGAATTGACCTGTTTCATTTCAAAATTTGTAAAAAATTATTAGTCTTACTTGTAGGGATGTACTAAGTAGTGATTTTTAGAAATCCTAAAATGGGTGAAAACAATTATGAAAGTTCTTTGCTTTTTGAACTTTTAGAGCGATGAAAATTAGGATGGATATATACTGATATAGTTTAAACACCGTAAATGGAAGTGTAAGTGTGTACAGGGAATTAAAACGTTACAGTAGTTACGTATTGTTTGGAAAGGGAATTGAATTGGCACAGTAGTCATACATTAAAATCTCTGCAAAATATCGAATTGAGAAAGAACAGCATAAAGCTGCTTTTAGGAGGGTTTTCAAACACATCATTTATTTTTAGGGCATCTGAAAGCAGTCCAGCAACAATAGGCCTGCTTAATAGATGGAACCAAATAATATAGGGAGTAGGAATGTTAATAAGCTAATGACGATGATACACATGTGGATGCTCTCTGACACAGTAGAACTTTAACACACTGAAATATCAATCTTTTGAAAGGTCTTGATATATAGAAAAATAGTTTATTCAGACAACACACAACTACATCACAAACGTGTAGAATACAAAGAACAGTCAAGAACAATACGTGATATACCTGTGAGCAGCAGTAAGATAAGGGTCAAGGCTCGGTGCACGTAAATCACCCAAGAATGGGCGAAGCACCGATTTTCAACCGTTACCCAGTCCAGAGTGAGCGGGGCAGATTATTGTCAATGTCATATAAATAAAAAGAATTAAACATGTCCAAAATAAAAGACAGTAATATTCTTAATGAAAAAAAAAAGAAAAACAAATTGTCCGTAGTATAGATAAATATACATTTATAAATAATGATACATAGCACAGTGGTCAAGTTAGAAACAAAATTAATATTTAATAGATTTAAGTATATACATGAGATTATAATACGATGGAATTAATTTAGAATTTCAATTGTGTCAATGTCAAAAATAGAAAATTAAATTATAATGTAAGCTTTCAGGAACATTTTTGTCACGACCTCTTACACACTATTAGGCATTTCGTTTTCCTGTCCTATAGATATTTGTTGTCCCAAATGCTGTGCTAACCTAAATGTCTATTTGGTAACATAGTTGATTTTGTGTGTAGGACAGTGTTTTGTGTCTACTCAATAGGAAAATACAACGTGTGTACTGAAACATCGGTCCTTTTCAAGTATCCTGTCTACCAATTTATTTATGAATCGCACTCCGATAGACGTGATTGGTTTCTTTCAGAGTAGCCGGTTCGCAATAGATTTTTGTTGACATGTTCACAATGTATTTTTTAGTTCGGTTCGGTTACTCGCGGGCTTTCTGTTGGTTGCAGAACGAAATCAAACCTCGCCAAACTGTAAATAATTCACAAATTCCACGTAGCTAGGTACGAAAGTTTTAGGTATTTGAATAAGTAAATGAGCTTTTCTAGGTCAATGTAATTATATCCGTCTCATAATAGGAATCGATATCTAAATAAACAGTTCCCTCTGGACCACGCGGTCAAATCCGCTGGCGGAAAGCTAAGCAGATACAGCAATAAATTACATCTAAAGAAGCTACAATTAATTTATGTTGTTATTTAATGATTATATTCTTTATTGGGAATAGCTAACAACTATCACATATTGATTTAAATAATGTAATATTATATTACCCAATTATTTGTAAGTAATTAAGTAAATTTTTTGTACAAAAATAGCCTAATAAGCTATTTTATCTTATAAATTCCCTAAATAGTGAGTGTGGAAATCCATATTAGACAGGCACACATATGTGTGTGTGTGTGTACCTTTATGTATAGGTACACATCACATATTTATATAAATTATATTATTTCCAAATACCTACAGTATGTTACTTGCTAAGCAAGCCAACATGCAAAGATCATTCTATCCTCATTTGTCATTAGTTTGCCTATTGTCTTAGTTTTAAGCAAACAGTACCGATGGTAATTTTTAAATTTAGGCTAGTTTAAAGCAAACAGTACCAATGAAATTTTTTAAATTTAGGCTATTCATTAGAGCGACTTTACGTCATTAAACTTGTCGCAAAACGAGGAAACATTAAAAAAATAATGTACCTACTTGTTACTGATGACGAGTTTAATCTTGTAGTTCCATCGTTACACAGATTTCGAGATTCTGTCGAAGAGCTGAAACGCTGATAGATCTGTCGAAACGACTCCCTGAATAATGCATTATTAGTTAATTATTAACTGTTTGTTAAAGTCTGTTACATCATTGGGGGTTTCGTTTGGAAGGCTTTTTAAGCCATGATTGGCTTCAGTTGCTTGGTAGAGCTGCAAATTTAGCCATTCAGCTACTCCGGGCTAGCTATCACATATTAGCCAATTAAAAAACTTCTAAACAAGTTTAAAATATATTTTTCTATATAATACCCTAAAAAGGATCTTTTTTAAAGTAGACAAATAAAGATAGGTGTAGAAACAAGAACGTATAATATACTTAATTGCAGTTTTTTATTGCTTCTATATTCACTTTGAATTCGGCGGTAATTAAATTAAGTTAATATTTTCAGTGATTTTCGTAGCGGGGAAACCTTGGTACCGTATAAAGAAACCTCGAGACAACGCCACATTGAAATTCGTGTCGTGTGCTTGGGTAAGTGGAAACGCGGAAAAAAGTAGGTATTTCTTTATTACAGAGTGAAACTTGGTGACGGAGTAGTAAAAGAGCACGTAATGTTGTTACTTATAATGTATCTATTTCGTACAGAGGCTGAAAATAGTGTTTTGCTCTCCTTATCCAAATGTACCGCTGCAATTTTGTCTATGCATCGCTGTGTGATGGCGTAATTTTATTGCCCACCAGTATGTGTGTTTATTAAGCAAAGATATCTAGATATCATTATCAATGTTACCAAAGATATTTTATATACTAGAAATCTGGTCGATTTCCACGCTCTGCGGTTAATTTGCATGAAGTACTGAAAAGCTACACAACAGGTATTAGGATCATCCATCATTGTAATAGCCGTTAGGATGTGTGTTCCAACAACGTATTATCAATCATCAAAAGCCCTAAAAGGCTTTTTGTATGTTTGTCAGTAAAAAAGAAATATTCTTATGATTGATGTCGTTGTGTAGCTTCCCTTAATATTGCTTAGAAGCTGAGTGATGCCCGAAATTACACTTTAATTTAGTAACGTTACATTTGAGTGAGAGTAAAGTTCGAAGAGGCGTTTTGTAATAACGAAACGTTCTAAATTGAACGTTAGTGGGTATAAGAAAAGTAGGCACTTAAAACAGAAGATACATTAAAGCTTGTTTGAGAAATTATTTGCAAGAATGAAGATTTAGAATCCTAGTAGGTTGAAATGGTTTTAAAATATTTTATTCACAATTAGTGTTGTTTTGGAATTTATTTGCACGGAATTTATACGGATTTTTTTTTTCAGTTTTTCTTATTAATACATTCCAATATAATGGATAGGTAATAAGAGAAATGGTAGGTGATGGATGAGGATACAGTTGGAAGGAAAGAGGAGAAAGGGAAAACAAAACAAGAAAGGAAAATAAAAGTAAATAAGTGCTTGTGCGTGTGTGTTATCATACGCCGGTGGCAAGGGCATATTTTCTGCGGACGAAGGCGCGGGGAAACAGCTTGTGTTTTTATAAAATTCGTTGTTTTGTTTATTAAGTCGTCATTTACATATTTGCGATTGCTGTAGTATGCTCTGAAGAAGCGCATTCGTCACAATGTCGACACTGATGGACCCCCACACGAGCATTGGCTCGATTTCGCCGCTGAGAAATACGGTGAGAAGCTGGTGGCCGACATGAAGGTTGTCTTCTCCATTCTCTATTTGTACCTGCCGGTGCCGATCTTCTGGTCGCTGTTCGATCAACAGGTTTATTTTTGCAAGTTTTATTTATTACATATATAGTTTTTACCGGTTACCAGTTTTCGATCAAGCTGATATTTTGCACACCACGTAAGCCGAATGTGGTTAGATGGCGATTAACGATTGCAGATGCCGCTGTGATCAACGGCTTAACGAGTCTATGGAAGCACAGAGCAGATCTAGATAGTGAAATTTTGTCACAAACTCATTGGCAGGCCTGTTGTTTAACTTTCTTAATACAGAATGAAAAACTTCATCAAAGACCCGTCGAGCTCTTTTCATATGTCTTAACAATAATCTTAATTAAAGATAAACTTGTACAAGAGTCTGTGTTTTGTACATGGTATGCAATAGATATTAGTTTTATATCATACTAGCTGACCTAGCGAAGTTAATACCACCATTACCGCCGTTTTTAAAAATCATTTTAAAAAAGGGTTTTCACTGTTTTTAAACCTTAAGGATTCGGATTATGTTATTCATAACAGGGGTTAAATTATGAAGTTGCCGATTTGTACTGAAAATCAAAATTATATTTTAAATTTTTAACTAATTTATTTAATCAAAAGGTCATTTATGCCTTTGTGATAGAACTCTGAGGATTTAGACTGCATAGACTGTGTGAAAACATTTTATACTGCCTCCTGGGAAGAAAACTTTTTGTCACGTAGATAATTGTCCAAATCACGAAAATAATGGTAGTCCGTTGGAGCAAGATCTGGGAATACGGAGGATGACGAATAGCTTCTAACTGCAGTTCCTGAAGGGTCAAAACAGTTTCTCGTGCTGTATGAGGTATCGCGTTGTCATGGAGCAATAATGGTGAAGATCGATTTATGAGTCGGGGCTGTTTTAGGGGCACAATAGACATCTGCCGTTATTGCTTAACCAGATCGGAAAAATTATAGTGAATAACACTATGCTGAGACCAACAAACAGTTACCATTACCTTTTGATTGGTAAGTTTTGCTTTAGGACACTGTTGTGGTGTTTGACCTGGGGTCAGCCATTTTTTTTTTCTTTTACGGTTATCGATCGATCTATATCTATATATATCGATCACAATTCTATCCAATATTCCTTTATTTCTGTATCGATTCAACAAGGCAACACAAGCTTCAACACGCGCTTCTTTCTGCATATCAGTCAAATTATGAGGCACCCATTTTTCGTATTTTTTATTTTTTAATTAGACGAAAATTAGTCAATATTGTGAGTATAAGGTGCTGATTCTTGGGTAGTTTGAATAGGATCGGATTTCACGTAAATTCATCGTTATTCACCGGTGTGGGTGGTCTTTCTCGTGGCTCGTTCTTCAAGTCGAAGTTTCCATCACGAAAGCGTTTAAACCAAAATCGCACGGTGCGTTCTTTAGCAGATCTCTCTCTAAACGCAACATTGATAGGTATTGCAGGCTGTTTCTGCCGCGTTACTTCCGCTACGGAACTCGTATTTAAAAATCCCTCGAATTTTCGCAGTACCCATCGCTCTTGTCTAAGTTGAATAACAAAAACAATTGAAAGTCGATATTCAAATGTTTTTAAAAGAAGAACTTCATAGAAACCACGTTAAAAATGTTTCTTTCGAAAACCTCAAATCGTGAAGATTCTATGACGATTCAAGGAACCTATTACAATAAAACGGCAATTTCATACTTTAACCCCATTTTGATTATGAACTCAAAAAGGTATTCCGACTTATAGAGGACAAGGCAATGATCGGGATAAGGGGGCGTCCATAAATTACGTGAGGTGTTTTTTCAAATTTTCTGACGCTCCCTCCCCCCCTGGTGAGATGTCGTGAATAAAATATTCAATCCCCTCCCCCATCCCCAAATCTCACGTGAGATTTTTCAAAAAGTGGGTTTCTTATTTAAACACGTTGGATTTTTTAATAAAAAGAAAAAAAATAATTCGCTTCGTACTTTTATTTACGACTAGTTAGAGACTAGTAATCCATATTGCTCTCATTCATCGAGTCACACGTTCAGCTGACAGTGGCGCGAAAACAAAGGACGGGCTACATTGTACCGTAAATTCAAATTAAATTGAGCTATTTGGTATAAAACGAGTATAGTGGTTTGACAATCAGGAGTGATGTATAATGTCAAAGAACGAATGAAATTATTTTCTTTCCAACGAATTAGTGAATGATCTTAACCTTAGACTTGTTACTCTATGAGGGATTCCCCGCACCAAGCCTTATTTTAAAAATTGCGTGATATTTGCCGAGACCCCCCCTCTCTCCAACGTGAGATTAGATGAGATTTGACTCGACTCCCTCCCCCCCTTAAATATCTCATGTAATTTATGGACGCCCCCTAACGTTACAAATGTCTCTATGTGTCAATTTAGCTAGAAACAGTTACAATAAATTAGTATTAGTGGTCGCCCAGTGGTCGAAATTCGACCATAATAAATTTCCATTAGAAGTTCTTTAACATAATTTATAAATATTACTAATGTTCAAACATTATTAATGTTCTCGTCAAAGACTATATTATAACCACAGATTTCGCCAACGCTGAAAAATATTTGTTTAGCCCCCCCAATAAAAAATACAAAAGATCTTCGAATCAGCAATAACAGATTTATATATTTTTTACCTGTATGATGAAATTTTTCAATCAGATTACTAGTTAAATATAGAATGATAGCACATTTGTATATTGCATTGCATTGTACTTATCACTCAAAATCACTTATTTTTCCTGTAAGTATATAAAATTACTGAAATCGTAAATCTTTTGACATTCAGTAAGACCACAGTAAACATCACAAACATATATATAGATGTCTATGGTAAACATATAAAACTTGACACTGGCTAAATGTACAAACCGTGCGAAGCCAATATTCAAAAGAAACAAACAAACTCTATGTCAAAAGAAAAAATTGACCACAGAGTATATGTATGCGTGTAGCAATTACTTGTTTGTTTGTGTCAAATGCGTAGTAGTGTGTGTAATGTTTTATTTATCGATAGCACTTGCCCGCGACTTCGCCCGCGTGGTAAAGTTACTCTGAGCAGCATTTCTAACGAATATTTATTCAATATATTGTGTAAAAAACTTGAAATAAAGTTTCATCCCCTATTTTATCCCCTTAGGGGTGGAATTTATCAAAATCCTTTCTTAGGGGATGTCTACGTTATAGTAGCTTTATGCGTGCAAAGTCTCAGCCCGATCGGTTTAAATTGACAGTTTCATACAAACTTTCATCCCCTATTTTATCCCCTTGGGGGTAGAATTGATCGAAATCCTTTCTTAGGGGGCGTCCATAAATTACGTGAGATGTTTAAGGGGGGGAGGGAGTCGAGTCAAATCTCATCTAATCTCACGTTGGAGAGAGGGGGGGTCTCGGCAAATATCACGCAATTTTTAAAATAAGGCTCGGTGCGGGGAATCCCTCATAAAGTGACAAGTCTAAGGTTGAGATCATTCACTAATTCGTTGGAAAGAAAATAATTTAATTCGTACTTTGACATTATGATGTATAATGTCAAAGTACGAATGAAATTATTTTCTTTCCAACTCCTGATTGTCAAACCACTATACTCGTTTTATACCAAATAGCTCAATTTAATTTGAATTTACGGTACAATGTAGCTCGTCCTTTGTTTTCGCGCCACTGTCAGCTGAACGTGTGACTCCATGAATGAGAGCAATATTGATTACTAGTCTCTAACTAGTCGTAAATAAAAGTACTAAGCGAATTTTTTTTTCTTTTTATTAAAAAAATCCAACGTGTTTAAATAAGAAACCCACATTTTGAAAAATCTCACGTGAGATTTGGGGATGGGGGAGGGGATTAAATAAAATCTCACGACATCTCACCAGGGGGGGAGGGAGGGTCAGAAAATTTGAAAAAACACCTCACGTAATTTATGGACGCCCCCTTAGCGGATGCCTACGTCATAACATCTACCTGTATGTCAAATTTCAGCCCGATCCGTCCAGTGGTTTGAGCTGTGCGTTGACAGATCACTATGTCAGTCAGTCACCTTTGAGTTTATATTTAGATATAAGCGTTATAATTTAAGAATATTAGCCGTTTGCTCTTCTCCTACATACAAACTAAAAGTGTGACAAATTTCATACTCCTTCGTCCTCGCAATTTACGTAAAAAGGGGTCCAAAGTTTTTGCTTCACGTATTAATATATAGATTATAAATTCTCAACATAATGGGCAATATATCAGAATTCTTATTAAGTTATTCAAATTACGAATTTAGAAAGGCATTCAAACCGTTTGAGGCAAGCCTTTTATACATATTAATTATATTCAAAGTATCCGGGACCTATTTTTACGGCTGTATTTTGAATATTATTTTACAATTGTCTGTGAATTAGGGTTCCCGTTGGACATTTCAAGCGTCTAGATTACGAAGTGAGGTGTTTGGTGTAACACTTATGCCGGATCAATTGCAAGTGATGAACCCCGCAATGGTGCTGATAATGATCCCTGTTTGCCCTGGGGGCGTGTGGCCATTACTGCCGGAGTTGCCGCCGTTGCAAAAGATGTTTGTTGGTGGCATGCTGGCAGCGATGGCATTTATTTCTGCGGGAATATTGCAAATTGGCATCGAAGTGAGTGGTGAGAGGATGGCGTAATTATTGACATATTGATGTTTTAATTGTATTTGTAAGGCAAAAGATCAGGTTTTGGCCCCTGGCTCCGTTTTGGTTTTTGGCTTAGCACTTCAAGGCGTTCAACTAACATATAGGTTAATATACTACTTTACCGTGAACTGTTTACAATGTTTCTTTAAAACTAATACCGATAACGGTTGTAATGCATTAAAGATCACATCCTCTTTACTCTTAAAATAGTCAAAATCGGGTTAAGTAGCTTATTTGTCATTTAAAATTGTTAAGTCAAATAAAGAAGGCCATACGTACTGTATCAGTAGTCTACAACGAAAGAAACCTCAATTCATGATGCGGAAGTATTGTGTATTTTTTGCTGCAAAAATCAAAACCTCAATTTAATGAGAACAATTTTCGATGGAAAAAGTAACCTTTATAATTCACAATTTTGTGTATTGGTCCTCGTATTATGAGAAAAAAATAATAAACGTGTGTTACTTGGTATTTAGGGGGTTAAATTTGAGAGCCTCTACTTTAAAATCGTTTCTCGCCGTCTCATTGACGGACGCGTGGGTGTCCTCTTATTTTCTTGTTATTCTTTAGACGCGGTTTGATTTCTTCACTAGCCAATTTTACTAGAAGTTTCTTGATTATGTTGACCGCCTTAATAAGTACAGTTAATAACTTTTTATAAGCAATTATGATGGCGTTTTTAGCTTTTTTCAAGTGAAAGAATTTTTAAAATCTGTCTAATACTTTCCGAGCCAATTCAATACAAACAAACAATCAAATCCTCTTCAAAATATAAGAATAATTATAATAATTCATTCATTGAATCAGCGGTCGACTCTGCAAGTACCAGGGCACCATCAGAGCGGGCTGGTGTTGTTGAACACTCTGGACTGTCCCGTGGATGTATCAGTACGTGGTGAGGGCATTGCCCCTGTTGAACAACGCGGCACCGCCCTTATGACTCCACTGCCACATCGCGTGTTGACAATCACCGTGTCCTGTCCTGTTAATTGCGCTGGAAGGGTCATGAAGAGACACGTGGTCAAGGAGGATTTGAAAACTGTCGCTAATATGGTAATGAAGTGTTTCTGGCATATTTTCTTTCTACTAGGTGTATTGCCGCGACTTCGTCTGCTATAATTATAACCTATAGTATCCGCGTATGATGTAGCTTCCTGTAGGCGATTTTTTGTGATCAGATCAGTATTTTTGAAGATTACCCTTTACAAACAACCAAAACAAAGCAATAAACAACGTAAGAAACTTAACTTCTTTATAATATAAGAATAGATAAGATATCCCTTTTCTGAAATTAACCTCATGTCACCATAAAAAATACCTTAAACATTCAATCTCTAGTTTTGACGCTCTATTACATTATTTTGCAACAAGTTGTCCATACTTATTAAGTACCTATTTTAAAAGTACAACAATAATTCTACATACTTATGAAATATCATGAAAAGTTTTTGTAAGTATTTGCATTAATCAATAATGGACGGCTTTATGTTTTCAGCGACTTCTAAAAACGAATCGTTGTATTCTTTTTACAGTTCATGCCTATAATTATAGGTCAGACTTCAAACGACCAAATTTCCATGTATTTTATGGATCCAAATCCTTTTACAAAATCTTTGACTGGAAAGCCGAAGTTAAAGTAAGTATAAGTTCGCTTATTTGTTTACTAATTATTATTATGATGGTACGATGGCTTTTGAATGTAATGTGTAAATGTAACAAAAACGTACAAGAGATTTCTAAAGCTTGATATTTCAGTATGTTCAAGTACTAAGGGTCCAGTACATGACTACATCACTTAGTTATCCAGTGCGGAAATCACGTGCTAGGGCTAGGGCTGGACCCGGCAGGCTCCTTGCCGGATTGTGGGTCCTTCTCCCGGAGGGTACGCGCAGCGGGTTTTGTCAGGTAGGCCGACCTCGCTTAAGCTAGTCCTTTTTACTATGGGTGAGGTGCTGGAGAGACCTGGTTTCAGGCATATATATCAGACCTGCGTTAAAAAAAACCAGAATCCCTGGTGGCGGTGTGTTGAAGTATGTAGAATGGCACCATACATTGCAAGAGTCTCAAATAGGGAAAATTATTTATGAAAATTGTTATAATATACAATAAAATATGTACAGCTTAAACTACACAATTGTGGATGCGGCTCACACGGCGGCTCACACTCGGAAGTGATTTCGAAACTCAGCTCCGAAATAGTTTTGCAACAGCTGATATTTCATCAATTACTAAATTATTATAAGTAAGATAAGACAAAAATACTCAGATCATGATGTCGTGAGTACATGGCGACACAGCACGTCTCAGAATCTGCTGCGAAAATCAGCTCCAGTGTTTCTACGCCTTACGTCCGCATTGGGTACTGAAGTGATGTATACCTATAGTTCTTCAACATACTGAAATTATACACATTTTTGACACGATCTCTTAGACTAGTATATTTACAAGGGTGGTGTATGTCGGTGATACTGGGCCAAATAAGAACGTATCCATTGCCGTTGAGACTGACCGACAGTTGACTGACATCTATTACGTGTCGGATGCTCCTATTGACCACATCGGCGAGTCAGCGTACATATGCATGCAGCCTGGCAAGTAAGTGATCAATAATATTTCTTTATTCTCTCTAGTTAACATAATTTTTCAATCAAAATATAAAGGTAACATCCAGCTGATAATTTGCCTATCCTGCTATTTATTTTTAGAATAACAATTTAATACATAGAATTTTAAATTCGTTTCGAATAAAGAATTACTGTTGAAAGAAGACAACTGATTTGGACTTTAACCGTCTTATTATAAAACGCGGACTAACATTAGTATTAGGTTTCGTTAAACACAGAAACCATTATCCGTTTATCATGTCATATTAAGTTAACACGTGTCATTCAGACGTTTTCTCTCCTGTCATTGTCAATTTCAATTTCTGTTAGGCGGCCAACGGTTTAAGTTAGGTATGAACCTCTTTAGTTCTCGTTTTGTCTGTGATTGAACAAAAATGTTATAATTTTTAAGAATTCAAAACGCGAATTTATATCAATTTCTCTATTGAAAAAATCACAAATTTACCATTCACTATTTTTTCCATCTCTTTCTCTTTTTGAAAATATATGCTTTTTTATAGGGGAAATCGATAACTATGTCGGTGATTTTGTAGTTGACCTGATGCAGATTTTTTTCAATAATAGTTTGTAAGTAATTAACTAAAAACAATGAGATAGACAAGGGCAGAAATTTGCCTTTACGTTCCCAAATGATAGTAACAGTTGTTATAATCATTTTAAAATTAAAATTTCTTCCCCGATTTGCGTATTCATAATATTTAAAGATATATTTTATTTCCGTCACTTTCCGTTAATAATGACTTGAGTGGATTCGACTCCCGAAAATATATTTGTTTAAGAGGAAGTGAACATACCTAATAATATTTATTGCTAACGGGAAAAAAATGTTCCACCTCTCATGATTAAGTGGCGTATATCATGTAATGGTGAGCACTTTCCTCTGGAATATGACCCAACTAATATCGAGTAACTAAATAATGGTGAATTCAATAAAAAAATAATATCTAAAATTAAAATGGAGCAAGCAAAGAAATTGTCAATTTTACACACCTAAACGAGTTGAATGTTGTAATGAAAAAATATTTCATCTACGAAAGTTAATGATTTTATATAAAGGATATGAGAAACGATGCCTTTAGACATCGACTTTCATAGTAACACTAAAAGCTTACGATCCGGGTACACATTCGGTTTCATAATAGATATAATGTATTTTTTTTTCAAAACTAACAGGTTCTATATTTGGACTGAGCACTAGTTTTTTTTAAAATATTTCAGTTTTTCTTTTCACTAAAATTTTTGATTTTATTATCATTTTTTATCATTAATTCGTTATTATTAAAATCAAAGTAGTAATTAGTAGCAGTATTCACACATAGCTAGAGTATAATGTGAAAATAAACCAGTAACTCACGTTTTATTCATAAATATTATGTACTCGTATCACTCAAAAAAAAAAAAAGTTTTATCGATAACTGCAAAGTGGGTCTTTTAAATAGAACCATCATTGTAGCGAAAATATTTAAAAAGTTCATGGTTTTAAAATTGGATATACTCTCTATGCGCGACTACGCCTTGGTTTTAGCTGATGGTTTTTCCATATAATCTTCGTACTTGAACGATTATAAAACAAATAAATACCTGAATTTAATTTAATTGATCTAGTCCTTGGTCCAGTCTTTCGCTTAGTGCTTAGCAATTTATGTATTAAGCACGGTGTGTAAATAATACATCTACTTAGATTAGATTGGAAATAAATTTCAAATCCAATTTAAGAGAGAACAGAAATAAGATTACTTTCATGATAAATTAAAGTGAAATTAACTTTTTTCTTTGGCTAACAATAAAATAATCCTATTCGTAAATTAATAACATGCCTTAATACGATTTAACATTGAAACGAATTGAAAAAATTGAAATTTTATAAAAGTCCTTTTGTAGTTTAAATTTCTTTTAAGCATTAATAGAAGCTTGCCGACTGATTTGTTATAAAACTAGTATATAACACGTTAAACGCCGATAGAAAAAAATAAAAATCGTAAAAATACTTTTGGTCGTAATTTGTTTATTATGTTACGATACGTATAGAAAATAAGTTTTATTCAATTCTGTACATGGGTTACATAGTTACAGTCAAATACATAGCTGAGGTCACCGGTGCACCCCATGGCGCACTACAGTACAGAAAATATATTTTCCGGTACCCGGCGCCGCGCCGGCCACCCCGCCGGCCACCCGCTACACCAGTAGTGCGCTTACGCTTACGGTGATAGAACGTGTGTTACTAGATCAATTACGTTCCTACTATCTTAGCTGTCATCATTTTCTTATTGAATAGTTAAATAATAAAGACTAATTTGAATTATATATCCTGAATTTTTATTTTGGTTACTTTTTTCGCTATCTTTCATTTTTTCAATTCCTTACAAGGTATGTTTGTCCCACTGCGCAGTATAGTTCTACAGCGCCGTGCCGGTCACGGAGTACGAATAAAGTAACAGTCAGTATGGCTGGCGGCGAGAAAAAGTAGTTTGAATATGACTATACGTTGAGGTCACCGGTGACCCCCATGGCCCTATGATAGAGGAAGGGTGAGGTCACCGGTGACCCCCATGGCGTTTAGCGTGATAATGTATTTTTTATATCCCTAAGTGATAAGGTTGGTTCTTCGTTCTGTTCTTTGTGATCAATTGAAAAAACTATAATTACCTCTTTTTTGTGATAATTACGAAAAGATTTTGAATTTAAAGTAAATTTTTGGAAGTAGTTCTTATAAGTTTTTTTCATTGAGAATAATTAGTATATGTACCTCTTAGACTTGTGAGGTAAATTTTGCTTTAGGTGTTATTGTTTATTATTAATTTGTGATTTTAGGCTACACTCTTTTTTGTACTGTAACATCAGATTATGTATTATTTCATTGGTAGGTTCAAATGGCACGCTCAGAGCGCTAGTGGCGATGTGTCAGGATCAGGGGAGGGTTGCCTCAGGGCAGGCGGAGTTTACGTTCTGTGCCTGCGCGAACGACTCGGACGGCTGGATGCAGCTGTGCTGCACGCTCCAAACCCTCCGAACGAGCTACATCTTGCTTGGATCGTGCCGCAGTACTTACTCGTCTCCGTTGCCGAAATTATGTTCGCTGTCTCTGGTCTGGAATTTTCTTTTACACAGGTGACTTCACAGGAAAAATTGGAGGTGCACCTGGTAGTTACGTAGTAATAGATGTAGACGAAGCGGCCCCTAGTTCATTCTCGCGATAAAGCGATTTGGGAGCTGGCTTTGACTTGACTACCTTCAACGACCGTTGTATCAGATTGATGAAAGATGTTAAACCCCTCCGCATATATTCGTTTTTCATTACTTTTTTTCACAAAATAGATTTATTAGAGGAAAAAGAGGGAACAAGTGTTCATATAAAAGGCCCTCGCTGATGTGACGTGGTCCACGTACGAGACTTTTTTTCCCAACAATGCACTAATTATATCAGGAAAACACATAAGGTTCGGGTCATTGTCGCTCAGTTTACGAATGGCCTTGTCTGAGAGATCTTCACCGTGAACTGAAGTTGTCAAAAGATCAACTATTAACAGACTAATCAGGATGCGTATGTTCAATGTTAGACCAAACCTATTAATCACGGCTTAAGTTAAGCGGCAGAGCTCAATCTTAAACTTGAAATAGTAATGTGTTTATTTTCAGGCACCTAAAAGTATGAAGACAATTACCATAGCCGCTTGGTATGTGTCAGTGGCATTTGGAAATCTAATTGTAATATTAGTGGCTCAAACGAAGATATTTGAATCAAGGGTATGCTATATTGTTTTATGTATGTGGCTTTAGAGCTGGTTCAAAGGTTTGCCACACAGAAGATGTTACACATGCTCAGTAAATGCTTGGTGGAACATCTTCTATAAAAGTTAGTACATTAAAACTGATAATCTTCCCGCTAACGCTTTCCTGCGAACTCTTGATGTAAATCATTTATAGTAAAAATAAATAAAACTAATTAATAATTTGTTATGTGTCTGGTGAGAATTTTAAAAATATTTATTTTGAAGAAAAAGAGAAGATATTGTCTCTCTCTTTGTGTCTCATTGACTGACCTTATTTAGTTTTGCTTTACCTTTCTGCGCCCTTCTAAATACATTTGATTATGACATATATTTTGTACAATCAAGGTACTTGGCTCTACGCCACCTTTAAGAGATTGTCGCTTGTGCGGAATTTCTGAGATTTTATATGCAAAGAGGACGAGTTGCAACTGTTTCATACTCTTTAAATTTAAATAAGTTAGCATCCCCGCTAGTATTTTATTTTACTAATTTAGCCAATAATTTGGTTATCTCTACTGCTTTTATTAAAAAAATTACAATTCAGGAAATAAATAAAAATCAACCTCGACTACCATAAATCAAGAAACGGGGAAAAATAAATGTAATATGCGCACTTACTCAATAGATGTTGAGAATAAATTTATTAAAATAGATGAAGTGGTTGCCGATTCATTTGAGAAATTCTTTTCTAAATCACCGATAGAAATCACTAGAAATCTTAGTTTATGTTCTAGAATTGCGGTTACTCATCTAAAGTCTGTTGTTGATAAGTGCAATACTGAATTTTATTTTAGACCAGAACGAGTGGTAGGGAATTTTTTTTTTCATATATCAATAATTCTTTAGACTTTAAAGTTAAGAGGGGTAATGATTGTTTTAGCGATAAATAATGCTCTCGACAATGTTCTACATTGGTTTGATAATACTAATTTAAAGCTCGATTTCAAATAAAACGAATTGCACAAAGTTTGAATTACCTAATGTGAGGCATGTTAGTGCACTTATAAATGTAAATAGTGAAGAAGTTGAATTGGTAGAATCGACTAAGCTCCTTGGTACACTAGATTCCTGAGTGCAATGAGATCCTCATATTGATACCATATTGATACCTTATCAAGTAGATTGAGTTTTGCAGTTTTTGCTGTTCATAAAATTAGACTGTATTTAATATTGTTGTAATACGTACCATTTTGGTAATGACATGATTTATGTAAACTTATGATTAAGAGCTGGTAAGTTTCTTCCGCTTGTTGTTCTTGCCAGCTAAAAGACGTCCTGAACGAGTAGTAGGGAAAAAATAAATTGAAATCTATAGATAAATTTTGAAAAACATGTGCATTTTGACCGAACAGTAGGTAGGTACCATCTATAAATCATAGGATATAGTTTTGCAATTTTTAATTACCTCTTATTTAGACTTTAATTCTTTGCTTACAACATACTTAGTTGGTTTTGAACATAAGGGACTGTTTTATATGTGTCCTCTAAAATGTTTTGTTTTACTCCTTTTTACTCAAGTTATGTTTTAATGTATTACCATGTAATTTTTACAATGAAATATTTAAAAAATTATTACATTAAGTACTTTGTCGATATCGATGGACCATTCCATATTAAACCTCTGTATCATTCTAAAGCGATAGAGCACCTCTGATAATAAGTCCTGTATATATTATATCTCGTAAAATATTGGTGACCATTAATCAGTGAAGAATGTTGAATTCAGGCAACAGAATTCTTTGTGTACGCTGTGGTGTTGACGTTTGCGATGTTGTTATTCCTGCATATGGCCCAAGGATATGAAACAAGGAGTATAGAGGGAGACGCGTCGTCCTCGGAGAGTCGACCTCTTTTACATCATCGATCAAAGGTAATAGTGGTTATACTTATTTCTATGACAGATAGGTCTATGCGAACTTTTTAAACAAATCATTTGCAGTGGTATTAATAAACAAAATTTAGCGTCGGAGTAAATTAACGCTGAGACTGCACTCAGTATTAGTCAATATTAATATTAAACAGAGCCCTAGAAAATGTTAACCTAGTACGAGCCTCTACAGGTAATAAGTAATATTTACTCCTAGAAGGTAGTGGGTATGCCTATTCTGTGTGTAATATGAATTTAGGCTAATACTAAAATTTCAATTTTATAGTAAATTTACTGAGATGCTAAACCTTGTTTATTAATAGCACTGTTGATTGATGTTTATACATCAATGGCGGAATTAATTAAAAATACTCGGTGGAACAGAACGACCGACACTCCCGAGGTTACTGGAGAGTACTATTTGTCTTTAATATGATGTAAAAACAAAATTATAAGCCTAGGTCAAATAGTTTTGGAGATATTAAATCACAAAGTTTTTAAAAAAGAATGAGTGTTTTCAACCCTGAGTCAGCTGTTTTGGGGACGTACTAAGGAAAAGTTTTTAATCGGTCATTGACTTTTTCATTTCTAAAAACGAAATAAACTAGTTTGTGATTTATAAGACTGCTTTCATGCAAATTCTACCAGACAATCAATAAACAAGCCGTCAAAATGCTTAAATCGGTTTACAGACTAACAGCCGGTTTCTGATTTGAAAAAACTAGAAAATTTCTACTGCTTATTCTCAATAACCTAAGTGTTTTTTTTAATTTCACAAGTCAAATAGTCCTAGTTTTATCAAACTGCTATCAACTAGTCATTAAAAAACTAAAATCGGAAACGAAAACTAAGTGATGTTTGTTTGAGACGTTTAACTTTAAATTCTCAATTAAGAAACCGAGTGTAAAATTTGCTAAATTATTGTAGAGAGATCAGTTTAATATTAACCTACGTTATTTTAAAAGAGCAGTTCTCCAAAAAAAATGTTTGAATGGGGTAATACTCCTTTAACAACGGGATCGTTAATTAAACTCGATAAACTCACAAATCTTCCAGCGATTCATCATTAACACAAATGAACTTTGTTTTAAAAACATTGAGGAATTTGTTATTAAAATAGCATTTAAAAAGAACATTAAAAAATGCGTGATATCAAAAGACGAATAAAAAAAATGTGAATCCAGTTCGTCCCTCGATATCAAAGCCCCACCCCATAGAGTAAGCCAGCCAGCCGCCAGGCGGCTTCATTATTCTGTCGGTATTTTCCGGCCGCTCAGTCGCCGCCAACCTTTTGCGCTGGAGTGTTGTTGCGCATCGCCGCCGACGCACCTCTGCGAAGCGTCTTTTTTGTCGATTTTTGTTTTAAGTTTAGTTTAGTGAAGATTGTGTTTAGTTTTGTGTGAAATGTGATGTGTTTTGCGCGGCATTGAAAAGAGCGTGCTTAGCTCAGTCTTCTGAGAGGGAGTGGACATTTTCAGCATCGACTATCATTAAGATATCGGTAAATAATTTAATTAAATTAATGTATTTCGCGGTTCGTTGTAATCTGCACACAAACGATATTGCGCATGCGCATTATAGGGCTGTCAACACTTAGAAATTTAAAATTTTTACTCCATTTTTACACCTCTTCTAGTTTTAAATATTTGTTAAATAAAATGAACGTTTGCATGTAACTTAACTTGAAACTTTCGGCTGTGTCGGTCATTTTGTTCCTCCCAGTATATACACTGTGATATATTTATGAGCATGACAATAATCGGCATATTGTACCGATTGAGTAGCTCGGTGGCGTAGTGGATAAGCGCTGCGGCCCGTGATCGTTGTCGTTAAGCAACTTTCGCAAGGTTCGGTCACGGGATGGGTGACCAAAAAATTATTATCTCGAACTACTTCGTGCTTCGGAAAACACGTTGAGCCGTTGGTCCCGGCTGCATTTGCAGTCGTTAATACCCTCCAAGTCGCATTGGGCCAGCGTGGAGGGTCATGGCCCATCCTCCTTAACCATCCATAAGGAAGGCCTGAGCTCCTGCAGTTGGGACGTAAAAGGGCTGATGATGATGATAATGTAACGATTTGTCGACTAAGTATTTAGATATTGATTTGTCTATACCTACCTACAATAGTTCTTTGGAAAAAATAACTGGAAAATTTTACCTAATTCGTAAAAAAAAAATATTAGGGACGAATGTGAATTTCAATGAAATTTTATGAATGTTAGATATTGAGGAAAGTGAAGATATAGAAGATTTTTTTAAAGCATTTACTATTTACAATGAAATTTTACAGGGTGTCACATAAACTGTACCTAATAATAACACCTGTTTTACTATGTGACATGCAATAAATGAATTATTATTATTTTTAAAAAACAGTGGGTAAATTAATTGTAGGGTAAAAATAACCGGCCACTGCCCGTATTTTTACCGCTTACCTCATCTGACACAGTTTATTGCTTCTAAACTTGATGCACGGATACTAACTGTAATAACACTTTATTGTCGCCAGGTGATATCAGTCCATTCTTTATCGACGTCGAGTACGCGGGCTTACACCAGTCGATCTAGTGCAGCCTCATGCCTTGGTCTCATGGAGCGCACAAGGCCGGCGGTGTGGCCCACACGTGCTTTCGTACACGTCGCAACGCCTAGTACCAGCGAACCAAGAGCAACAACTCTGGCCAAATAGATATTTTTAAAAATCATTGTTAACTTCATGGCCATGGACAGGATCACAACTCACTCCGTCTTATTATAAAATGATGACTAATTTTTAAGCATGCTTAACCGGGAATTTTTTAACCAGGAAATGACAAATATTACAAATCGTCTAAGCAGATTAATTTAATTACAAATAAATATTTTATCTTTTATTCCTTGACACATTTAGGACCTATTACGCTAATACGCAAGACGCTGTATAAGTTTAAACATTGCTTAATGTAAGGTAGTCTAGTCAATGTTGAAATGCATTACATCTTCGGTGATACCAAAATATTTAGGCGAGAGATTTTGGCGTTTAGTGAAAACGGGTATCTTATGCCGCGGCCCGTTGTAATTTTAGTCCTCGTTTTATAATAAGATTGTTAAATTGTAATAGAGAGAGAGAGAGAGAGAAAGAGAGAGAGATAGAGAGAGAGAGAGAGAGAGAGAGAGTTGATATAAGGAAACTAACGATTAGTCGTATTATCGTATACAAATTGTTATTATTACGACTTATATATTATAAAAATTATTATTTACATGAGCATTTTGGTAACTTTAATAAATTTTAAAGAATCGTTGTGTCGAACTGCTATTAATACATCAGTTTCAGTCACTGTATAATGTTATTATAACTTTGGGTTAAGTAAATTAAATGGTCTAAAGAAGATACCCACAGTTCATTGTATTGATTTTGTTTTTTGATAAGAAGTATTTATTTTTAATTTGATTTGTTGATTTTAATTTATGTATGGCTTGCATTAAAGTATGTATAAACAGAATAAGTAACGATTGAGCAATGGATTTGAAAGTTAGAATGGCGGCTAATCGCTCATGAATCGAGGAAGAAGGAATATCATAATTTTTCTTAAGGTAGGGGAAGATAAATGTTAGATGTACTATTAGACTGTATATTTATTACCAAAATAAATTAATTTATAAATATAAGGTATTGATTTTTTATTATAAACCATATTTTACCTAGTACCTATTATTATATAAGGATGGATTGTTTGAATTATGCTCTATTTGGGCACGAAAAAATCCGATTGTTTGGATTATCACTTGAATACCTACAATCCAAACAATTATGAATGAATTGAATCGATCATTGATTACACTACCAATTTAAGATGGCCAGCAAAATCGTTAATTACCTTACGAATAGATTTCTGATGGTATTTTCTTTCTGTGTAACGTATACACATACAAAAGTCAATCACATGTCACCCACTTTTTTGCGCTAGTAACAAATGACATATCTGCGTAATATTAGTTACCGACATTTATCATAGTAGGCGACTTTTTTTTTCGTGTTATTTGCAGAAAGTATTCTTATAATTTTGTTTTCCGATTATTATTTTGTCCGGTAAGTATAGAATTAGAAAAATCATACACCGTCAGTTGCACAAACGTCCATAAAGGTTTAATGACGCCTTTAAGCACTAATGAATGTCAAATTAATATGGGTAATGTCACTTTAAATTAATGAAGATTTTAATGAACGTTTGTGCAACTGGCAGTAAGTATTGCAAAACATACTTGTTAGAATCCATCTTTAAGAAACTACCTACTTAAAAAGCTGAGTCTCAGGAGCCCAAGATGGGAATCGAATCTTTCGCAGACTGTCTTGTTTTACAACTACTAGGCGCATTCCCATAAATGTTTAGGCAATACGCCCAAACAGCTGAAGATAAAAGCTCTCGCCAAATGTAATCGTACGAGTAATGGGCCGGCGCAAGAAAGTTATTTAGTTGTAGTTTAGTTGTTTAGTTTAGTAGTATGTCGTAATTACTCAAAGTAGTTTAATATTCTTTGTAATAATGAGTTAATAGAAATCGTTGCCTTTTACTCATTTACACTACAATATATTTTTAATTTTCTATATTTTTACACAATTGAAAGATCTTTGCTTTATTGAAAACATAAAACAAATATATAAATATCATTAAAATATGAGACTTTAAATTGCAAAGTGTGAGATACCTTGATAACGTTTTATCTCTGAGAAAATTAATTAATAAAACACAATGAGGAAAGATTGTTATGTATAGTATAAACTTGTTCACGATAAGGAAAAGAAAAATATATCTACATATAATATGACAGAAACACATAAACGGGACGAGATCAGGAAGAGGAATCCGGCCTGAAGGAAATGATCCTTCATTTGTTTGATAAAAGAGTCCCAAGATGGAACCCTCTTGATAACTTCTAGCAAAAAAATGTTATATTTTAACCTCTCCAACAATATAAGATTTGGTTGCGAAATTTGATTGTGACATTCTCAGAATATTATCGTGGAGTACGGGTTAGAATATATTAGTATGGGACCCGGTAGTTACAATAGTTCGCCTTTTTTCTTACCAAATTAGCGAGCCGCTTAAATGTCTTATTTCATTCAGCGAAGTTATCATTGGATAAATTGTAACATGGTATTACGCTACCAGCCTATTGTAGCTACTATAGCCAAAATATTGGAATTGTCTTTGAGCCTTTGAAAAGTTAAAAGCCAACATATATCTAACTCGTTTCAATTATAGTTCTGCGGTCAACTGACTTGGAGGAACACTGGAATTTGAACGTATTTCAGTTCAATAACTGTGCATCATACGTAGAGGTATCTTATTTAGAGTCTATTTGATAGCGTACTTTACATTAAATATTATTTTTGAAATATATCAACGTGAAACTAAAATACAGCTTATTTTACTATGAGATACATCGACCAACGTTATATATTATATAATCTAAACCTCGACCATCTTGAAGTACATAAAAATGAAGGTTGTATATTTTATGGGTAAGTGTTGTGATTTTATAAACGTAATTTACATTGATTTATATCGCAACTTCAAATCACCTTCAAGATATAAACATTTCCTTTGTTTGTTTTTAAGGAAATTTGCTTCGAAGGCTGTTTAACGTGTTGCTTATATGTTATTTTATGTTATGTATACGGTGAACGAAATCAGCGAAGGTTTTCGCTGAAGGCATCCAGAAAAAACTGCATAAAACTAAAGTGTATAGAAAATCTATAAACCACAGCAGTACATTAAGTTGCGTGCGAGTTCATGTGAAATAATAACTTTAATATTGATTGAAAAAATCTAGTAGATTAGTAATAAGCTAGATTCAATTTTTATTATGATAGGGAGACAATAGGCGGCAAACTCGAAAAATTGGGTTTACAGATTAATTTTGGTATCTTAAAAGCACCTATCACTGTTTGTATCGAAAGTTATCAAGTAAAACAAAATCTTATTATCATTCCAATCATGTTTTGGTCTATTAAGAAAGTGTAGAGAATCATATTTGCATTAAATATTGTTTAGAGGCTGACTGAGCGTAGCACAACAGTAAACTTGGCGTTAAAGTTCTTTTTAAATTACTTATATAATGTTAATGGAAAATACTTAATCAGATCTCAGATTGCCATGGACAAAGTGGATTTCTTAAGCATATTTCATTTAGAATATTTTTCATTATAGCATTGTGAATGAAAAATTTATCAAATATAATAACTACTTATATATTTTTAGATTATTTGAACATTTTATTTTGTGTATTATTTATCCAGATTCACTGTTGAAATTTCTATATAGTAACTATGGTTAAGAATTACGTGTTCTCCGTCCACTTATAAAATTTTTTGTACATTCATAGATACGAGACTACTTAAAAACGGTTAATGTACAAAAATACAAAAGTTCAGAATAACATTGTTGCTTTGATATAAATTATAGAAACCGAGATAAAAGTGATAAAAGGATTTTTGTATCATTGACCTTGAATTACTTTCAAGGTGGGCACAGGATTTACTCTAACTTTTAAAACGACTATTAACGCCAAAATGAAACTGTGTGCGAGTTTCTAACTTTTTATCTCTCATTACGAGGTAAAACGATAATTAGACTGAACTGAAAATGGAATTAAGAGCAAAAGCAGGGTTTATCACAAAATTAAAACCATGGATAGATATTTCATAAGTAAATGTTATTACAATGTAGGAGAATTCTCAAAAGGAAACCTTAAATTGGTTAACATAATTTAATAAGTGTACGTTACTTACAATATTATAATTAAATACATATGTTATGTAGGCTATTTCATTATTTTAGAGTAAATATAACAATAGGTATTCGTGCCTATTGTTGCTATGCCTTTGGTTGTTCAAGGTTTTTGTTAGAACACTTTTTATTAAAATACAATACCTAAAATAATTTAATTGCATTAGTTTTGTCTACTGTAACGAAAACCCAATTCAAACAAGGCACTAATATTACCAAATCCATGTACGAAATAATGTCTCGAGACTATAATGAATTTGATAGAATTATTCAAAGTGAAGACATTAACATTTTATTATTCGCCCATTTTAATTTCAGTTTTGCAATATCTAAGGGTTTACTGCAACGAGGCAAACGATAACAGTGATGATGATGATGATGATAGTACAGAAATTTATCACTCTGCTAACACATATATTCAATCCGAAGGTGATGTTATGCTTGAATCTATAAACACCGGTAGAAGCAGCTTAGCAGTTATGGAGTTAAATCATGGTGGTGATTATAAAGCATATACGAGTAGTGATACAGAAATATATGATGATAATGATAGCACAGAAAGTGATGACGAGACAACTGCAGTTAATAATTCCACAATTCAAAGTGATGACTTTAAAACTGAAGCTCAAAGGACAGACGAAAAATATAATTCTGATGATAATGTTAGGAATTTCCTTGAAAATCTATTTGATGTAGTTCCTTATCCGAAATACAATGATATACCAATGCTCAATCGTAAGGTAAGATCGACAAAAAATCCGTGAATAGTCAACGGTCACAGAAATGAATCCAAAGTAACCAAAAATCTTTAATAAAAAATTAGAAGAAAAGATTGAAAAAATATAATGCTTAGGATATAGGGAAATGTAAAAAGTATTCATTAGGATATAACTTTTAATTTCAATATACTCGTATTACACATTTCAGATGTATAATAAACACTACCAATAACAACAAAAAGTTGTTAATTATGTGTTATAGATATTTAGAGGAGTGCGTGTGACAATTATGGAGCATCCCTACATAGTCAGCATACGAAGGCAGCTCGTGCACTATCTCATGGGTGCCATCCTTACCAGAAATGTGATCATTACCGTCGCCCATCCGATCTATCAGTAAGTAACACTGACACTACTTAATCCGTTTGCCCTCTAAACGGATCCTATGACACAACACTACACATATACTTTATAATAATACATACATATATTATATCGTAGATACACATACAAATGACATTTAGTCTTTGCAACTCAAGTGCTTCCCTTTTCGTTATTTGAGATGTTTTTTAAATATTTGAGTTAATTTACAAAATGGTAAATCAATTAATTGGTTAAAAAATTAAGTACATATATTAATTATATCATTATTTCCGAGATCAGCATAATAGTTTTGAGATCAGTGGTTTTTAAACTGGGTTGTTGCCGACAGCCTTACCATGTTTTTGGTATGTTATTACTGGCCTCTTTAAGGAGGCTTTAATACTTATTTTTAATTTATATTTTTTTACTTTGTCAATGTTTCTTCTTGTATGTTGTGTTTTTGTACATTGATCATTAATAAAGCTTTTCTTTGCTAAAAGTTATTTTATTAAATTATTATCTACAGTCCTCTGTGCTTGCTGTCGATTACAGCGTATGGATAAATTTAAATATGAAGTCAAAATACAAGGGTTCAACGGTACGGACCGTATCTTAAGTTCGTATCTTCGGCGTGATCGATTCGGATTGATGAACGTTTAAAAGTATACATACAGATACAACTGATGTAGCTTATTGACGTCAGTCATTTTTTTAACACAGGGGAAATGCAACCTTAAGCTTTAAACCAGGGCTCTCCGACACCGCACGTTGAAAAGGACAGGCTTAAGCGAGGCCAGCCTACCTGGTAATAACCGGGATCCGGCAAGGAGGCCGCCGGGTTCAGCCCCATAATAATATTATTATTCCTACTAGCGATTCCTAGTTATGGATATTAAAAGAAAATTCAATATACATTTTAACCGCAATGTTCTGACCTTGTTTTATATAAAGATTTATTATTTAGGGTGCCAATAACTGAGCTAAAAGTGATAGCAGGTCAAAATTATAATGACCGCGGCACTACTCTTCACACTGTTATACTGACGATTATCCATGAAGATTTTCAACCAAGCAACTTGCAAGCAGATCTAGCACTTCTTATGACTTTCGAGTTCATCGTCTTCAAGTAACTATTTCTCGGTAACTTATTGATGACAAATTATTTTAAGTTTTAGGATCAACAGAGCAATTCTGTAAAAATCCAGACCCGATTTCGAATTCACTCATGTGTCTGAATTCACGTAATTTAGTATAGAAATTCTATTAATTCCATTTTTGTATAAAATACAAAACAAGATGATTGTTTCATACGTGTCACTATTCTGTTCTTATGTCACTTCACTTATGCCACAATACGTTACTACAATTTCAAGATAGCGGATGCTACTTTTTGAAGTAAATTAAGACACATGAGTGAATTCGAATTCGGGCCGAAGGACTATTCCGTTATAATAATAATAAATTCATTTCATACGTCCAGTAGGACAATTCTGTTAATGTAATTGTTGACTAGATCACAAATTAATAAATATATATGTCACCATTGATTTATGAGGACGACATTGCACTAATAATATTGGACTTCAGGAAGATAGTGGAATGGCAAAATGAATGTATTTATATGTGTACAGGTTTCATACCAAACCTATTCCAATATCTTATCCAGGCCAATCATTAGAAGGAGAAACGGCGTTTGTAACGGGCTGGGGTCGTTGCGACAGATCGGTGCGTGATTTAGTTTTTATTAGGACATAAATTATTAATTAAGATTTACCATATCAATTAATACAAATTTTTCTACCTAATTAATGGTTATTATTGTACACAAAAATGTATAATCGTTTATGAGTTACATAAGTTGTATCTTATTGTTAAACGTTGACCTTTTGCATGTTTTTTCAGGGAAAAGAGCTATGTTTACCACGTTCCAGTGAGTTTTATCGCGAGGAAATTATGGATCCAATGTTGAGAACAGTAAAGTTTAAAATAAAGAGTACGTCATGTGAAAAGTATTACCAAGTAAGTCAACTTTAAATATTATCACTCGGTAAGTTAATGTGAAAAAAACTTGTGAAAAACGATACTAAGAATACAGATATATGCAATTTTTCACCTTTTATTTCAACTTAACTGATTTAGCATATATTTTGTATTATAGAACACAAATAAAAACATAGGTAGATAACACAACACACTATTAAGTAAAGCTAGCTGTAAATTGCATCCATCAATGAAATATATACAGAGAAAGGATGGCAGGTAGGTAAATATTTTTTAATATATTATTAAGAATATCGAAAAGCCTGTTATCATTTAATATTCTACAGAAATCCTCAAAGTTTTAATATATTTGAAAATCAAATTTTTCACTGTTCGATTCTATAGACACATTCATTCAGATTGAACCTTTGCTATTAAAATACTTGTTCTCAACACTCGTAAAATCAATTGATTCAAATCAATATAGAAGTCAATATAGAAAAACTTATTTCATGGGTTGTTTCATATATATTTTATAATATGTACCGTAAACATGAAGTTCCCATCTTTTGTATTCTGGAAAATACAGTGTCGAATGCTGTCACAGTCAATGTCGAAGCGTTAGACATTCATTTAAATAAAACGTTAATTAGTTAATTCAAAGGTTGAATTAACTAATTAACGTTTTATTAGTCAAAAGTTGGTTGAGGTTGAGTTACTTAAAAAGTTAATTCAAAGGTTGAAGTAGTTTTTATTTGATCATTATCAAACCGTAAAACAAATTGACATAATAGAAAAAATAATTTTAATTGAGACGTGTTGACTTATTTTGGTAGTATAATGGTTTAAACCTGGTACTAAAGTTAGACCTAATATTTTTTGGTAATTTTGTGACAGTTGTTTTCGACGTTGAGTTTGACTGTAGGTTCGACTCTGTAGTTTTAACAAAAAATCACTGCACGACGAAGTTCACAACATTTGATTTGTTATGAATATGTAATAGGAAGTTTGAAAGAGTCTTAAAGGGTATCATGTATCTTTCTCAAGGCTATACACCAGCCTCAGGTGCCTTAATAATAAGAACTAAGTTTCATCTTAATCGAAAGTTTAAAATATTTGTAAAGATATTTCTTGCGGCTGTGCTGAGTGGATTGCCTGAACGTTGATGAAAATACGCTCACTAATAGCGAAAGGTAACAAGTGCTTGAGAAATTTGCCAGTCCTGGTGGGTCTCGGGAAGGTTAATTCAATGGTTAGAACACTCGCCCGGATTCTGAATCCGTATTCTATCTGGGGCTGGTTGATACTTTGAGCATTATTCATTAAAGAGAAGTGAATTACTTGTGCAAGGATAAAGAGTTAAGTGCCGGTATGATGTGTGCTGGCGACATGCGATCGGAGGAGATGCTTAGTCCGTGCATGGCCGTGCCAGGTGCACCTTTAGTTGTGGAAGGCAATTTGGTTGGGTTGCAGTCCTGGGGCTTCGGTTGTGGCTACGTTAACGATCATCCACTTGTCTACACCAGTTTGACTGTGTACCAGCCGTGAGTATTTTTAACTATCTTTCTATAACATTTTCATTCTGAAACAAATCCAAATGAAGGTAGGTTCTATATAGGGTATTTGACGACCTACGTGGTCCACTGGCTAGCATGCCGTCGCCATCTCAGAGGTCCGATTCTCGGTTTGAGAGTTTGATGTATGTTATGTTGTCTAATATTATTTTAAACTAGATGACCCGGTGTACTTCGTATCGCCTCTCACCGTTTAAATTTCCTCTAGACTACGACAGATATCATAAAATCACAGATAAATCGGCTTAGACGAGCTTTAGCGAGACAAACGAACAGATTTTTTTTTAAATTTGTTGATAGATAGATTACTCTTATTTGCAGTAAAATTTCTACAATTCCTAATGTTATCGGGGTTCGACTAAATACAAATTATTTTAGTTTAGGTACTTAGAGATAATTATAAACTTCTATAATAAGGTATTTTGCATTAAATCTAATTTTATATTGTTTTAAACTTTTATCGCCATTAACATTAACATATTAACACTGTTTCGAGTGCCATGATCACGGAGTAACTAAAATTCTTATGTTTTACTTTTATGAATGAATTTAGGTTTCACTGCTTGAAATTTTATTTCTGCGTTATGAAGAATATATATCGTTTCTGTGTTTCAGTTGGCTTGTCCACAATATTCCGATTCTCCGGCAAATACAACGAACTCAATTATCAAGTTTATTTCAGGCGACAAAAGCGAGTTATCTGAGCCAATGGCTTCTCAAAACCAGAGTAAATGTGCCTGCCTTTAAAATGCCTTTGTTAGATGTGCTACGACCATTAGACGTAGATACAGACCTGGTGAAACTGAATGGTACTATTACAGATATAAGAGATTATATTTTCGATTATAAATATAAGAATCAAAAGAGACTAATGTATGGTGAATTGAAAAATCATTTAAAAATACAAGATGTTCATGAAACATATCAAAATAGCCAGGTTTTACGCGCTAGTCCCTTTTTGAACGACAGTGTATTGAATGATATGGGTTTGTCTCAAAGCAACGGGACTCTGATCGAAGTGGGAAAATCGGAAGAAGATTCCTATTATAAAGAGCTTACGTCCAAAGATTCGACGGAATCAAATCGAATTAATAACCAAAACACGGAATTTGACTCATTTTATCAGACTGAAGCAAAACCCTCCGTTTATTTTTAGTTCGGAAAACGAATTGTGGAGATAGAATAAACTAAATCATTTATCGCTAGTTTATATGCTTTTATCTTTTAAATAACTTTTCATTCAATTGAGGTATAATCGCGTAAGTATATAGGTAAGATTATGACCAAAATCCTAGGACTATAACTTTTTCATGAATATCCGTAAAAACCTACCAAAATATGATGTCGTTTATTCTACAGACAATTTTAGAATAAGTAACTTTTCGTTTTAGTTGATTTAAGCCGAAATAACATTATACACGATCGTTTGCGAGCGAATTTATAACCATAATCTAAACAAGTTTAGGTTTTTGATAAAAGATTTAGATTTTATCGGGATTATCTATTTATTCTATCTTTAATCTTATTGTCTTTATCATAATCCTGCGACGTATATATTATTTGAGTAGGTATACTGTTGAAATTCAAAAAATATGGTTAAATTCCAACATCGTCATAATCAGCCCTTTACGTCCCCACTGCAGGGGTTCAGGTCTTCCTTACAGATGGTTAAGGAGGATGGGCCATGACCCTCCACGCTGGACCAATGCGGATTGGAGAGTATTAACGACTGCTAATGCAGCCGGTACCAACGGCGTAATGTGCCTTTCGAGGCACGGAGTAGCTCCAGATAATAATTTTTTTGGTCACCCATCCCGTGACCCTTGCGAAAGTTGCTTTTAAAAGAAGTATTATTTATCACTACTGTCTGTTCTATTTTTTTTTTGTAAAATGTTCTTATTTCATTATTTTTTGTGATAGTTATATAGGTACTGTATATAAATATTTTGTATTATTTTATTTATTAGCACAACGTAACCACGAAGAAATCGTACTAATCGTACACGAAGTATCCTACTTGCATAAAAAATAAAGCTTTATTGACTATATAAAACCTAAAAAGAGTATACATAAAGATATAAAAAAGTATTATCTATGTACAAAAAGGAAATAAAAAAAAAGAATTTTGAAAAACCATTCATAATTGGCGGAGTAATCGCATAACAAACACACAAAAAATAAACATACAGTCGAATTGAGAACCTCCTCCTTTTTTGAAGTCCGTTAAAACAAAAAAAAATAAACATATAAGGGGCACGGCACGGAAGCCTTCGTGCGCGAGTTTGACTCGGACTCTATTCATAAACTTACGAGTAATATTACTATCACATCTTTGACCGTATCAGAGGTAAAAATGAAACTATATTCAATTTTGCATTCTATTTATTTGGTTTGGTTCCATTGGTACAATATTATGCTTCGAAGTAAAGCAGTATTGGAAATTTCACTATATAATGATCAACTACTGAAACATACATGAGTAGCTGATCGTTTCAAAACCTTGAAAACAACGAGTTTTACTTCTTTTTCGTTTTGTTTTCTAAATATTTACAAACAATTCTTTGAATGACGTTCGCTGAAATGTTTCGCAATATTTACCCATGGGGAATTACAAAATAACAAAATGGGTAATATTTTTAGGAATTTTACCGTTTCTTTGTTTCATGATATTGTCATTCATGTAATTTTTATTTAAAATATATTGCGTGAAAGCCAATTTTATAAACGTATGTCGAGTATTTCTTGTACCTGGATACATTATTCAACATCAAACATTTGGTAATTAAAGGCGTCGATTACATATAGCCCACCATGCGCGTGGGTGGCCAGTGAATCTTTTAGCCACGTCCTGCGTGTTGAACAGTATGTGATATATCAAATTTCATTTAGTTTTTAGCAAAAACAATTACATGAGTCTGTGCATATCTAACGGAAGATTCAGCGCGTCACGTGACGTTCGTGAATTGTCAAAACTGACAATTTGACCTTGCACTCTCAACGGAAATTACGTCGTGTACCTACTAACACTTGACGGATCTTCCGTTAGATTTGCACCGTAGGGTCGGTATATAATAATCTGAGAAATAATGCAGAAGTAAGAGGTGCTAGTCGGCCGAAAACGCTCCCTACAAAGTGACGTCACACAGTGCTACGGTAGCGAAAAACGTATGGGCGTCTGGACAATCTTTGTAATATCTTCGTTATTTGTGCGTTTATGTTTATAGCTGTTATAATGAAAGTTGTAACCTTTTATGTAACTAAATTAATGCCATATAGTATTATTTATTGGAAATATTTGTAATATTATTCCCTACTTTTTTAAGTCTTCAAAGCGTAATATTATCCAAATCAGCGTCTTAAAATTTATTTTGTTAAATATTTAGAAGTTAAAATGGTTTATATTTTCCAAACATATTTTCACTTGTAGGACACAACTACTAGTCATTCTTCTTTCATTATGTAAGGATATATCCTCAGTGGTTATATTTAAAAACACTGTGACATTTTCATGGCACCAATAATATTTGGAAGTTTATAATTTGACTGACTCTGGTTGTATTATACTATTAAAATAATTGTATAGTTTAGATAGGTATTCTAGTAACACTGAATTTTCCAACAACATTCGAACTAAACGATTCCTGTATGCGTACTAGAAATAATATAATTAGGTAATTTGATCGCAGTTCTATTACTTACTTAATAAAATAATGTATAACGAATTACAATCGGAGAATATTTATTGTTCCTGTATATTTTTTTTTTCATCAAGTAAATGTAAATTAATTAAAATGAATATGATAATTGTTTTTTAATATTTTCTTTTTAACCAAGATCTTTTCGCAGTAGGTCTCATTCATGCCTCAAGGCTGGATTGAGGTGAACGTTAATTCCGTTAGAAATAATTAAATAGGATATCCTGTACACACAGAAAATAAATTCGTGAAATGATTTTCTTGAAGCAGAATATTAATTTTTAAATTGTTATTAATGATCCATTGCAGTAATTAAAAGTGCTGTGTGTATTGTGGTCAGCCAAGAAAGTAGTCTACTAATCTATCAAATCTCTGAAGTTAAGACTTACAATTATTACGAAGAGAATAAGTAACATCTGAGATATTCGACATTTGCAATAATAGTCACTGTGATAATGCGAGAGGAATCGACTTTTCATTACGACCAAACGAACTTCCGCAATTAGGTGGTATGCCATAATTTTGGCCGACTGTACATTTATGCTTTGATATTGCACGCCAATGGCAAGTAACTTTGAAACGTTTAATATTTTTATCGCTTTCAATAAACAAACAAAATGCCTAGATAGAAATGCAATCTCAACTTTGAAACAAATTCTTAATTTTTATAACTACTCTAATACACCCGTAAACACTAATTTACATATATAAACTAAGGAAAGTCTTCAGTCTAACATTTATTAATGAATAAATATCTCTTTAAAAATCGTGGATATTATAGCATATTATTTGTATTATAAGCACGTATCATATCGATGCAAGAATTCCTAGTCTCAACAGTTTCTGTTTGAAAATTATAGTATTATTAATATGCATCTCCTACAAAAATTTAGTTAGTTGGCACAGATACTTTACTTTAGTTTTTTTAACTTATTAAGTTTAAAAATTAATAAGTCTAAATTATTAGACAAAATATGAAGAAATATATCAATTCTTGGGATATTTTATGGCCATACAACGCAATGATATGTGAACATTTAAACAATATAATACTAGATTTGGAATACGATATTAAATAGCATGGATTGCCACAGATATCAATGTATAATATATTGATTTATAGCTAGGTTACATAACACACATTCAGTTCTAAATAATATCACTAATGTGAAATTTTAAAAAAAGCTTTTTTTTATTACAAATTTCAATATTTTCCATCATATACTGAGTTCGATATTTAATAAAAATTTTGATTAAATTATGTACTCCAGTATAATATTACACTTAACTAGAACTTATTAATATTTTTTCAACTAATGGTTGACTAATTAATAACAATTAGTAAATTAAAATTAAGAATATTTACAGAAACACTGAGATTTTTCTTATATTATGGAAAATTTTGCACTATAACATTAAGGTTTATAGCTTTCTTGAATGTACTACTATCCAATAAAGACTGTATTTTTTGCTAGTTTTGTATTCTATAAGAAGAGCTTATAAGAAGAGAAAAATAAATAATTTAGGAACCACTATTGTTATGTAACGGTATATTGATTAAATTCTTTTTTAATATGAGTACATAAAATCATTCAAGCAAGATTCCAATTTTATAGAAATAGATAAATACATCATTAATATATTTTTTAACCATTATATATCGAAGGAATGTAATTATGAGGTTCTACTTCATAGAGAACTATTCTAAGAACAAACATTTAAATACATTTTAGCATTATATGCATCACAATTACCTACATCTACCTACTTATCTATAATAAAACATTTATTTTCTTAATTTAATTATTATAAACTTACAAATATTTAAACATAAAAAGATGTTGAATATAAAGGGTTATTTTCGAAATGGAATGACAAAGACATACTTATGTAATGAAAATGAGTAAGCATTAAGCATTTTAGTAACATACTTGGGACAAAATATAACCTTGTTAATTTTAGAAAGTTTATCTAATGAGCAATAAAAATTTCAGACTCAGCAACCAGGTCGTTAAAAAAATTAAATCATTTTATAGAAATAAATAGGTGGTGCTCCAAGGAATATTTTACAAACCTTAAATTTTAACAATTATATGTATCGATCGATCTATTGATTAAATGGACACCGATATTATATTACGTAAGTTTTTTTTTTTGTATTTTGTTCATTTTTGTGTTGATGAAACTCTAATAGGTATGTAATTTATTATTGTAAGATTAAACAACAGAAACGGAACTTCCTACCATGCATATTTCTAATATTACGTATATCAGAAAAAGGATGAAACCTACTTATTTATCTTTGGTATGATTCAGACATAATATTTCCACAACAAGGGCTACAATCGTTAAGCTCGATTAAATATTATAGGCAGAAAGTTTAAGGGCAGCCGGGACGGCGATACATGCGCATTTCGCTGGTGGCGACTGCAATCCATTCGTTCCTGGCAGAGTCGAACCAGGTGAGACCCAACGTGTACTTTCCGTTGATGTTCACGTGTTGGCAGTGAGAGAACCACCATCCTCCTTCGTAGTTGGCGGCACAGTGAGTGTTAGAAATATCGCGGTCCCGGTCAATGGCGGAGAACTCCATGTGGTTTTGGTATTCAAATGCGTCACTGGCGTTACCTTTGAACCCGCTCACGTCCAGAACATAGCCGGTGTCGGCGCTACCGACGGAGAAACGGTCGTATTGAGCATACCAGTTGCCGCCGTAGATATCGGTCATGTCGATTCGCATGGACGAGCAGTTGTCAGATGTCAGTTGGTGCATTGATTCGAGGCCTAGCCAGTATTCGGAGGCGGCATCACCGAAGCCATGGACGTATTCGGAGAACTTCCTGTTGAATTCAACGGAGCCGTTGTAGCGACGCTGGAGGAGAGTGCTACCGTTGACGCACCAGGTATCGAGAGGGGTGTGTCCAGGGTGGATGAGGTAGGTTCCCGGGGGGCCAGCGACGGCAGAACAGTCACGTGGCAGTTGACGAACTAGGTCCTCGTATTCTCGCTGCACCGGTTGTAACTCCTTAACCTCACCCATCAGTTCCGGCAACGGGATTATCTCAGTTTGGTTGAAATCGTCGTTGACTGCCTCGCTCTAAAAAAATTATGAAAAATACATATTTCATACACAGTGGCTTATTCTATACCTCTTAATTCCTTGATAATAGAATTCTGCACCGCTACACCGAGACATGTGACATTATCGAAAATATTTTTTTTTCTATATTGAATCGACTGGAAATCGAACCCTGTATTAATGGACCCTGTATTAACCCTGGATGTATTAATAATTCGTAAGAAGAAACCAAACTGTATCAAAGTAACGTAAATTGTGAAATTTTCTAAGGGATGTCTGATTTAAATAATATTATTGTTACTCCATAAAAACTTCAGATACATTGGCATTGGCAAATGTTTGTTAAAATACAACATCAGAGTTGTTTGGCTTTATGTTTGTATCAAAGTTCGGTAACAAAAGCAAGTTCGCTAATAAATGTAAATTTATTTGAATTTCAGCCGTGAAAATAGACGATTCAGCTCCTAAGAAGTGTCCTTATTTTGAATTTTGTACTTTTTCTTAATAATAATAATAAAATCACAATAAATATCACTTAATAACTTAAATAACTACTTGAGTATAGTTGGTAACTGAATGAAAATAAATTTCTACTCTATCTAAATAATATGTAAAAAATATTGTCCTTTGGTTAAAAAACCCTGTTGTATCTAACAACATAGCTTGTATTACTTAAAAAGCAATAAGTCAAATCAGCTTTACTACTCTGCAAAAAATCAGCGTCAAACGCAACGTCGAGCACGACGATGTCCCATCTTCAGGTCCAATCAAATATACACTTTAAAAGTTGTTAAAGTTTTATTTGATTGAACCTGCGTTTTAAAATTATTGAAATAAATAAAAATATACGTTTTTGAGTGATTGGCAACTTTAGCATCACTCAAAAACGTATATTCTTTTAGTATTTACGATTTTACCATTATTTTGTAATTTGGATTGTAATAGAAATAGATGAAAAGAATTTATCAAAGAACTAAGAGTTCGGACATATTGCCTTTTTGGTGTAGAAATGATGTTTCTTGATTAGTTTTTATCAAAGTATGGTCTAATATTTATTTAAAAGTGATGTTAATTATATTTTTTAATTACGGAAAAAGTAAAGGAGTGAGTGCCAGATGAAGTATACATAATATTAACCTTTAGAATATGATCATTGAGCCTATAAAAATGTTGCTTGGAGCGGGCTTCCAACTCAGCCATAGAATCATTGATCTTTTTCATTTCGAGTCGGTCCATTTCGGCACGGTCGATACTGTTGCTGACACTGACGGCGATCGCCTTCACAGACTGACGGAGGTTTTCCTGGTCTTCTCTCAGGTATGAGGATTGAGCATTCAACTGTATATAGAAGTACTAAAGGTTAGATACCTAATATAAAACAGTTAAAAAAAGTAAACTAAATCAAACGTTTATATACACGATGTAATTTTTTCATTGGTTGGCATGAAACATATGATAGCTTTAAAGAAACAATAAGTATAAATTGTTTATTTTCTGGTGAAGTTGAAGGCCACTCGATAGTGATTAAGAATGAATAGAAGAAAAACTTGTAAGGAACATTTGTTTATGTACAGTCGGTAAAAAGTGACAAATACCTTTTTTCAATTAGAACGTTAAACATTTTTTCGAGAAATGAGTAAGTAAATTAAGAAATTAATAAAAGAATATCTTACTTGAGCAAAATTCACATCCAACTTTGAAATCTCTTTTCGAAACTCAGGAATGGTCTTGTCGGCTTTATTTTCGATACTCTCCACATCTTCCCTTAGCTCCAACATTGATGCATGAATCTTATCAAAATCGGAGACTTTTTGTGTGGTGTTTTTCAATTCGATTCTGATAACTTTGTTTTCCAATTCCAAAAAGTCTACTTTAGCCGAGATGAGGTTCCAATTCGGCTCTTCATAGCGATCCATACGCCGTTGTACATCGAGTATTTGGGTCTGCAGATTCTGTTGGAACTCGTCTAGCTGATCTTGGGCGCGCGACAGGCGGGATATTTGCGAGTGAACCATTTTATTGTGACGATACTTGTGATGTTCCCCGCGAGGCTCGCCTCGGCGGCTCTCTTGCAGCACGTCGTTGTAACTGTCGTTCGATGAGTCATATAACTGCATGGTTTTCACCTGGAACAAATGAGTTATATCAAATGTTATGATCGTCAATAACATATAGTTATATAATAGTACATTACGATATCAGTGCGTTATAACCAATACGCACGTATATCGTACGACGTTTTTTAACACATTTGCTAGGAAACAGAAAAAAAAACATTAAAAAAACTCAATCTGTGAATGTACACTGTTGCTTTCCCGCCATTGTAACAGCGCGCTTGCGCTGCCTACTGACTGGCGCCGCGCGGCGATTAGTTCGAAATGTGAATAGCAACAGCGCGCGTAATGGCAAATAATACTGTTATGGAATTTGTGTGGACTATAACTTAACTATTTGCTATGGTAACACACGCGTTTTTTATGACCCGCTTTACATATTTAAAACCGGTGGAATTACATCAGCTTTACGATCAAAGGTGTTAAAAAAATATTTTCACTATAGATAATATATTTTCAGTCTAAAAATTAAAAGTCTATTTACAAGACAATCTACAACTAGCAGATTGTCTTGTGAATAAAGATTTCATAATTTTCGTCTTTATCATACCATACAGCATAGACCCAATTTTACTGGTATAAGTCCCGTAAATTGCTAATGTGTTGCAACCTTGTCTAAACAACAATCGCGCGTGACGACATATGAAAATAGAAAGTATAGATAGCACAAAAGGCAAGAGAAAAATTATTTATTAATTATTGAATATTTACGAATACTCCTCAAAATATTGTTATAACAATTAAACAACTTTTACTTTTTGATTTTTTGAAAAATAATCATTTGATATGTATATATTGGGATATATAGAAATAAAAAAGTATGAATAACATAAAATTTACATTGTAATAACGCGTTAATATGAAGTAAATGTTACGTTATTCATACTTAAACTGTTATCGCGATAATAAATGGAAAGGACACTTTTTAAAACATAACCAAAAGTAATAATCAAATGCCACATTAGACATTAGACGTCAGATATATTTATTGTTAGTGAAATTATGATCACTTATTGTGTAAATCATAATAGCAGTTGCTATTTTAGTTAATCATAACAAGTAACATCAAAAAAAAAATCGATGAACAAATTTTGATATAATAAACTTGATCTTTCAGATTTAAATTTAGAGAATATTAATGTAGGTAGTTGCCTAATATACAAAAGCTAATCTTGGTTAGTGAACTTACTGCCTCTTTGTACAGGTATAAATTCAATTTAGCACTTGTTTGAAAACTGATTTAACTATGGCAAGTTCAGCGCATTCGTGAACTACACGGCTTAGCTTACAATATGTTGTGAGTAAAAGTATTTTCGAATATATAATGGCTTTTAAAAAAAATCTGCAGCAAATTTTTTTGTATCTGTTTTGCTTAACGACATTAACGGTTTTATATTAAAAAAAATAGAAGAAAGTAGCTAGCATCAAGGTTTTGTCAATAGGAGCATCTAATGTGCTATTTGATAACTCAAATTTTGTTCTTGAAAAGGAAACTTCAATGCATGAAGACTTTTTTCTTTGGTGGGGACTCAGCTTTAAAGTACTCCACTAAAGGATGTCACACAAAGGCGGGAAGGTTGACGACACTCCTCAGACTGTTTGGTAGTTGAATAATTCAGAGTTCAGCCACCCTTACCATTGACGGGACAGACAATTAAGCATTACAACGTCATGTAAATTTTAAATATTATCCTTTTAAAAAAAATAGTATTATGTTTGGCACAGTCATATTTAAGTTTATATTTAGAAGGAATGCCAAAATCTTATTTGTATAAAAATAAAAATTCTCTATATATCCATGAAACCTACAATGTTGGAACGCAATCAATTATGATGCCGAAATTCTCGCGGGAAGCCAGATTCCAAACGGGCGGGTGATACCCAATACAGCGGTCAAACGGCTCGTTTACACGTATAATCACAATTTGAATGCAAAAACAATTTTATCCGCAATACGGGTAGACAGTAAACGAAAATATTTTTTTTTTCTAGAAGTGTTTAATATATTGTTACAGATAATCACACTAGTATGCTTATTTTATTTATAATATTACTTAAATTAAGTATGAAAAAAGCACTTATTTATACTCGTTGTCACGTGACTGCAAAACAGCACGTCACAGTCCTCTAAGGAAGATGTCATAAATTTGACTTCTTCATTGACATACATAGAACTGTGCATAGGACGATGTTTGTTGTTGTAAATGTAAAACACGGGATCATCGACATCTTTCATTCATTTCTTTTTTATTTTACATCGACAGAATTGTGGGAAAAACACAGATAAGCCAGTAATAAAAGTAGAAGAAGTTGTTATTATTGTTTATATTATAGTTTCAGAGGGCTGTGACGTACATCGACGCCACGACAGCGGTTAGCGTTTTAGAGGGCAATTATTGAACATGAATTTAATTTTTAGATTTTAAATTAACATATGAGAGATTTTTATATATATATGTTTAAAAATATATTTTTAGTATATCTGTAAAATAAAAATATGAAATAAGTCGTCTACACCCGTATTAGATTTAGTGTGGCAGAGTGGAGTAAGGGATGAACCGAAAGCACCTAGGTATCGGTCATGAAGTATCAATACCTACTTGTATCGAAGAACTTTAAGATGCCTCACCATAGTCGTTATTTTTATAGATTTTTAGAGCAGATTTGATACTAGTGCTGGTCAATAGCAATACTCTGTTCACGGAAGAAAGAGAAGAAGGGATACTTATAGTTAGATATTGCTTTAAAATTTTGTTGGGAGTGTCCACTCTAGATAGATCTTTAACTACATAACATTTGTAGGGGTTAGCAATGCATCATAGTAGAGGGATACCGCGCCTATGGGATTTTTTATGAATAGACTTTAGACGCCTTACCACAGAATGAACAGTCTTATGCACTTGAGTTTTTAACACTCGTTAGTGATTGACCGTTGGACCGATCAAGTACCGACACAAATACTTCAGTTGGGTCATTATAAGAAGCCGCATTTGACATTTATCAATTTGAAATTGATAATGTGGTGTTCTGCTTAAAATTTTCGTTTAATATGACTAATCGATATGATTTTAAACAGATGTGAATCGAATGCAGATTATAAAAAATTATACTTATATTGACTTTACTACGATTATAATTTATATTTTAAATTTAAAAAGATTTATTAGCAATGATGAACATAAAAATGTATATTTTTTAATTATGGCAATTAATATATTATTATAATTAAATGAAATTGGCAACTAACTCGCTTTTCCACGTTTAAAAAATTCATAATTATATCTAGCCGCCTTACAAGGTTAGTTTGAAGTTAAGACTGATAGATGTCAAATGTGGCCTAAAGTAATAAACCCAGCTGTACTTCCCGAAACTACTTGATACTCAGTTCTAAAGAATCGAGTAGGTACTCCCATCGTATGACAAAGTAATATGTTTGCCACCATTCATTACATTTATTTTAATAAGTAATCAACGGAATTAACAGCTTATCAGTATTATATATTTGGTTTTAGAAAAGCTCGCTGTTACCATTTTGATGGCCTCCGACGCTCAATACTAATATACATCACTAAATGGAAATGGAAAGCTAATTTCAATCGAAATTATGGTTAATTATGAATTGAGACAGTAGGTACATTACATAGACAGTGAAGGAACCCGACCCAAAGGGCAAAGTGGATAAAATAATAAACAGAGAGCTTTATTCAGTTCCACCAGCGACTCGCCTGTAAGTGTAGCAATTAAATTTTAAATGAGACGGAAGTTAATTTTTGCAAACAATCGCTTTCTATCATCGAGTTCCTTAACTGTTAGAGCCGGATCATAAGGATAAATAAAAGAATCTTAAACAAATTTTTTAACTCACGTTTTAGCTATAGTCTAATGAAGAATTAATTTGTAAAAATTATTTATAATTGAGACTTATTTCACCATCAGTCTATTAATGTTCCCACTGTTTAGGGCACATTACTATCGTATGGATGGAATTAAACAGGGCATAACCCACCGAGAAGGTCGAGTGAGGATTGGTGGGTCTTAACGACTGCAGATGTAGACAGCATTTGTAGCTTAGTCTCTTTCGAAGGACGAAGGAGTTTGAGATGATATTTATTTGGTCACCCACCCTGACTGGCCTTAGCGAAAGTGGATTAATCTTTGCACCATGATTTGAAATTAAAGTTTATTTGGCATTCCATTATAATTATTATTAAAAATAAATTATAATGCGACTAACAATAAATACGACTTAGCGTCTGTAGCTACTGTAAAGAACCGTCATATCAAAAAGTGCCTTTATAGTCGCACGCAAATTGTAGGGGTTGGAGACAAAGGAACCTGATGTATGTGATTTGAGAAATATTCATGAAGCCACCGTGAACGTACAGGATGCTTTAATATTATCCAACATTCCATTATAAGAGTATGTTTGGTGAATACACATAAAAATTGTACTTATTAAAACAAAAACTTTGTGCCTCGCTATTCTGTAAAAAATTGCGGCACACGCTGCGTCGACGCTAATCTTAGAAAACGTTTATTATATTTTGAAGTAGCTTTTGGTTGATAGAATCTCTGTGTTTAACGTTATTTTTTTTAACAGAATAGCATTTGATCCGCTGCGAAGGTTTTAATCGACAAATCAACATTTATATTACTACTAGATGACCCGGTGTACTTCCTATCACCTCTCACCTTTAATCTTTCTATGGACTATGACAAATATTTCAAAACCAAATCGAATTGTAGCGAAACAAAGGTACAGCAACTTATTTTTATATATATATAATGATAAACATGACTCATATAATATTGTAATACACGATTTCAAGTTATTTTAGGTTTACTGTATTTAGATTTTAATACCTATAAAACAATATTTTCTACAAGCTCATGTCTATATAGCTAGTGAAAATACTGATATGGGTCATAATTAAAATTCTGAATCACTTATACAATCAGAAAGTAAATATAGAAATCTTGACGAAAAAAAGCTTAAGAAATCTAAACAATGCTCTCGTAAATATGTTTTATATAACTCCATTATTTTTCTCTTTGTTTTAATTTATTCTTCATGAATTTCCTTTTCTCAATTCCACCGGTTTGCTTGTTACCGAGAGGCAGATATGGAGTTACAACTAATTTAGTAATTGAAATGCTCGTTAATAGGA